TCACCTTGCTCGTGCAGCTGCTCGGAGAACCGGTTGAGCAAATTGATCTTCCAGAGGCCTGAGCGGAGCGAGGACGGCTTGCTTTCGCATCAGATTAGTGTACCTGCTAGCCAGGAGCTTTTCCACAGGTGCATGCGCTCTCTCTCGAACTCTTTTCAGCTCCTACAATTTGAGTGATAGTTATTGCGCCATCTGCGGTATATACATTACAGTAAATTAGTACTTCATTTATTGTGTAAAGGATTAAGGGAGAGGGGGGGGGGGGGCACATACATGTAATCAATCGAGGAAAAAAAAGGAACCGATCCTGGAAATTTAGGGGGGGCATGTGCCCCCCCCCCCCCGTGGCTACGTGCCTGCTGGGGAGGGGGGTACTTGCCTTTTTATTAGTCTATTTATTGTAAAGGATGGAAGGGAAGGGGGGTTTGATTGATGTTTTGGGTCATTTTATTTTAAAGGGAGAACATTCTTATTCCCCCCCCCCCCCGAGTAAAAGTATAAAATGAGCACAGGAGCATCAGAGATAAAGGTGTGAAAAGGGTTTTGGTTAAGGAAGAATATGTGAATAAAGTACAAAAGAGAGTGGAGAGGGTTTGGTTAGGGGCAACAGGCCTGCATCTACCATTCACTGTATGTAGTTCACCAATTAATCACCATTATTCTGGCAGCCATCAGCTAAATACAGTCTGGGGACAAGATGGTGTACTTATATATTTGTGAATGTTAAACGGTTTGTTATTACATTTACATCGTCACATTTTGGTACAATAAAGTGTCAAAATATGGATGTTATCTGGTTTGAAATATTAAAGTGACAAACTGGTTTGCACGCAGTACACATAAAGATATTCAGGCAAATACTTACTATGTACATGTCGTTGCATGATATCACTCATTTCATTATTTTATCAAAACTGTTGTAATTTAACAAAGCACTGTGATTCAGGACCATCATTTCCAAATGACAATTGTTGATTGATTCATATGGTATTTGGTGTAAAGGACTCGCGCGGGGGGGGGGGGGGGGGGGGGGGGATCATGAGCAATGGAAGAACATTATTACGATCTCAAAATAGGGCTGATAAAACTGCTCCCAGGGAAATCTCACATTATATTACTGCCCTAGAGTCTAAAGATGTTATGGTAGTGTATATATGCATACCTAAAAGCATTTATTGAAAAGAACTTGTCATTAGAATTCTGGTTTTGTTGTTGAGCAAATGGCAAATGGGGCCATGAGTGTGCAGAGGTGTTCCCTTGACTCTCAATCCAAGGATTGAAGGGTCTACTATTATCACCATCATTATATTATCATTTTTATTATTATAATTACAATTAGTATCATTATCATAATTACGATTATTATCATGATCATAATTACAATTAGTATCATGATCATAATTACGATTATTATCATGATCATGATTACGATTATTATCATTATCATAATTTACGATTATTATCATGATCATAATTACGATTATTATCATAATTACGATTATTATCATGATCATAATTACAATTATTATCATGATCATAATTACGATTATTATCATTATCATAATTAAAATTATCATCATCATAATTACAATTATTATCATTATCATCATCAAGTTATCATTATGAGTAAAAGTAGTATTAGAGAGAGAGAGAGAGAGAGAGAGAGGGGGAGAGAGAGAGAAAGAGAGGGAGGGAGAGAGAGAGAAAGAGAGAGAGAGAGAGAGAGAGAGAGAGTGAATGGGGGGTAGAAGGAAGAGATGAATGAAAATATAAATTACATTAAACAAAACTGTTGTCTCTTTAGTTGCAGACTCAAAATAAATACAATCCAGAACAAGATCTTATGTTCATAACTACTTTATTTCTCTCATTATTACTTTGTTTTCATATACATTATTTACACAGTAGTTTTATCACCATTTTTTCTTTATTCCATGATGGTCCAATAAAGAGATTCCAATTTTGATAAATTGTTTCAATAATGCTTCAATTTTATTTTACAGAAGGGTGTAGATTGCATATAATAACAGTGACAAACAATGCAAGACTCTTTTATCTGATTAATTATCACAATAATGATATGCGGTAATTGTTTCAAAGCAACTTGCAACATGTTTTTCTTCTCCCAATATTCAAATTCAAAATGAGTAATTTAAAATGTTGTCATGTCTGACCGACATATTTTTTAATTCTTATGAATGTAAAGCCATGACACAAGACCAATCAACATATCATGTATACTTCGCTGCTAGAAATCTTCAGCCAATGATGCATATAATTAATCGCTGTAAATCATTGAAATAAAATTCATCAAGTTTAAAACAAATAAAATAAATTAAAGCACTTTCTTCTGGGATAATCATTCCTATATTCCTGTTTCAATCAACATTTCGGCCGATTGTTGCCCAATTATGAAAATCAGTTTCTATGCCGCACCTTGATAAATGTTTGCGATCAGTATAAAACTGCAGCTGCACATTAAAAATATCAGATATATCAGATACCCAAAACATCTCATTTCAAGAATACCATCCATAATTGGTTAAAATGATGAATTGGGAATCTCATTGGCTACTTTTAAAAATTTTGTTTAAAATTCCATCATGGAAAAAAAGGTTGGTAAAAGCTTTACATGTGTGTGTTCCATTGCTAAACACTAGATGCATGTTATCAATAATGTATGTTTGAAGCCGAAAGGGCGATAGCTCCAGTGTATTTACAAAATATTATTTTCCATTTACAGGAGCTCATTTGGGGATTCGCTGATAGAAAAGTGTTGTTTTTTCAGAGCAATTGTAAAGTATTCTGTTGTTGTTGTTTAAACCCGAGATCTTTTGGAGCTCACGAGAGCTAAATTGCTCACAGCTCCCATGTATTATTATTCTTTGGTTAATTCACATACTTTAACACATAGTTTTACGTCCTTGCGACTCAAAACATAATATGTGAGTTTCCCCTCCTGCAATATATCAATTCACATAATTCACAACATTTACTAAGGAAATACCTGCACTACCTAATTATTATATACACAACATACTGTACATATCATATTTACAAACAGTTGTCAGGCACTGTACATAGGGTATAATATTAAATGTAGTTTTCATAATTTTTCTTTGCAGAAGAGTATTAATGGAAATCTCTTTAGAAAATGTAATTGTTCACAGTGAGAATACATACAAATTCATGACCAACACTGATTGAAATGAAGTTAATAAATTGAATAAAATCATGTTTAAAAATTGAAAAGCTGCAAGATTAAAAGAATTGTGGTTTAGATTAAGTGATTTCTTTTTAACTGATAGACATAATCAACATCTTTCATTTGATTTTTGTCTTTCATGATAATTAAATAAATAAAGAAAATTCATCAGAAATCAAGAAGGAGGAAGAAACACGGAAGAAAAAAATTAAGATAAAGATAAAGAAGAAAGGAGAAGAGAGATCGATCAGAACAGAGGGGCTCAGATACATGGTGAGGTATAAAGATGGGAGAGAGCACGAGAGGAAAATAGATAGAGAGAGAGAGAGAGACGGACAGACAGAGGGAGAGAGAGATAGAGGGAGAAAGAGAGAGAGAGAGGGAGAAAGAGAGAGGGAGAGAGAGAGGAATAGAATCTCAGTATGTCATAATTCTTTGAGCAATTTCATACAATGATCCCCTGCAGAATTAAAAATGACTAAAAATCAAACATTATCAAATGAAAGTCTTGAAATTGGAAAGACGTCAACAAACATCATGATTTCGCCTGTGCTTAGAAGAATGCCTCACAAATCTTATCTCAATACAGAGAGAGAGGTAGGAAGCGATGCACTTTTATAGGCATTAGTACTTCTCCAATTTCCAATCACATTTACAGCATTGATTGATAAATTAATCTAAAATTGGAAAAGAAAACAAATATTAAGACCACAATTTCATTTTCTATCTAAAATCAACGAAAGCCCATAAAAAGCCTGCATATAAATCATCTTTAAGCATACACACTTGGCACCTGAATTGTTAAAATACTGGTTTTATATTTACATGAGGATATTCTTCGTTCATCACCCATCATCTATCACAAAATCTCTTCAATTTGAGAGACAGGAGGTGCATAGAATATGATCTCTATTGTCAGTTTTACCATGAAGAAAGAAAGTTCATGTCCATTTTGTGCCAAGCAATACATTTAATCTCGAACAGTATGGCCTGTGCTCCTAAAACTGTACAATTAAAAGTTTGCTCCGTTTCAAAACACTTGTCATTGGTAAGATTTGCAACAAAACAATCACAAATCTGCTCACAGGCAATCAAGTACCATGATTTCAGTAGCTTGTGTTCCAAAGCACATGCATGTATGTCATTCAGGAATCAGAAGGGTAACTGATCAGGGGGCATTTTACAAAACTGGTCATCAGTGACATATGACAGTTTTTGTTATAAGCTACTGAAATCCTTGCTTCTGATTGGTTATCAGCAGATTTGTCATTGAATTTTGTCATTTGTCGTTGAAAAAAGGCTTTGTAAAATGGGCCCCTGATGTAAAGTGCAGTATTACTGTTGAAGCTGTGCTGAAAGTGAGATTCTAATCAACAGTGTTCCATTAATAGCACCATATTCTACAATTGTCTTTTCCTTCATACGAGAAAACCAAGAGAAAAACATGAACTGATTTTTAATACTGTTCTCAACAGCCTGAGCTCAACACTCACTGGTGCCTAGGGACACAAGGCCTTCTCCCCAAGAAAATTCAAATTTGAACAGGGGGCTTAATATCAGATCAGGGGGGTGTTTCACAAAGATCCTAAGTCGAAATTAACTCTAAGTTGGACTTAAAAGTTATGGAGAACCATTTGTTGCCTTAAAATAAAATATATTCAAAAGAGAATTTTCAAGTATATAAGACTTTTTTTTATAAATTCCACATCAAGAACATGAAATCTTCTTGATAATAGAAAATATGAGAGATTTCAATCAAAATTTTATATAACTTTCACAAAATATTTTCATAGATGCTAACGGCTTTCCATAATTGTTAAGTCCAACTTAGAGATAGGTTCAACTTATGATCTTTGTGAAATACCCCCAGAAATCCTCAACGGTTAAATCAAGACCCCCTTTGAAAAGGCTTGTGTGGAGCCCTACAGAACCATGCTGAACAGCTACACAGGCATAATTTGACACACATGTCAAATGACCGCTGCATGTTGGTCAGTAACGATCACTGCCTGATAGAGGTCGTGGCCAGACATTCCCATGGCAGATGAATGGCCTTCTTGATAATGATGATGATGGTGATATTTCATGATAGATGATGATGATGATGATGTTGATGTTGATTTACACAGTGCATCATAGCTCCAATGGATCGATGCAGGGGATCTTGGCAACCTCGTAGAACAGCCTGTAGCAGAATGTGAGAGAGAAAACAAAACAAAACGGAATAACTAACAGAGTACACAAATGCACGGTTTTGTTAGTATATACAGTCAAACCTGCTTTAGTGACCACCTGTCTACAGAGACTACATTCTTTGTTTCCCTTGAAAATGGTTTCTCATTGAAATATGTACTAAAGCAACCTGTCTACAAAGACCTCTTTTTGTGTTTCCATTGGGTGGTCACTGTAGACAGGTTTGACTGTACCATCTCACTGTGTCACAAGGACATAGCAAATGCTAAATCAATTAACCATTTAATCAAACTATTCATAATTAATGGAAAGGAATGAGTGTATCGCAGGAATATCAAGACACCGAACTCTGTCCAAAAATGCCATACATTCAATTGCGCAAGAGGGCCTGAATATAAACCAAGGTGAGAGATATGAAAAAAGGTGGATAAGACAGAAAACTATATGCTGTGAAGTGTGAACTCCAAAGAAATTGAGTAATTTTGAGAGGTTTTGAAGGACATCATCTACTTTTATTTTAGTTACAGCCAAAACGGTTGAAAAGTTGCTTTGAAATTATTAAAGGGGCTTCTGAAGTACCGGAGCACCTTAAAGCGGGACTGCACTACTTGTAGCTACTTGGGCCCTCTATAAAGCAAACAATGCCTAAGCCGTGCTGTTGATCCCACATGATCCCCCTTTTCTTAAGTTAATTGAGAGCCGATTTGATGAGATAACCACCTGTCATTGACCTTACAGGGAGGTCTAATCCCTCCTGGTCAAGTGACTGGAGGATACACTTACGGGTGAGAGTATTTGTTACGGACGGTGGCAAGTTGTTTGTTTGGTGGGCTGTTCAGCATTGAGTTGAGCTGGTTCATGCACTGCTTCAAGTCCTCCTCTACGTAGCCTGAGTAGTGTCTTAGTGTGACATCCTAACAAATAGAAACAAATATGTGAGATGAGGTTCAAATCTCAGTTTTTATTTACAAGTTTGAGTATGCGATCTTTATCTACTTGGTCACTGGTGCGAGCCAAAAATGTATTTTTTTGAAAATTGAAACTTCTCCCAGGAAGCATAACATTTATTTTAAAAGATGAGGTGGTTATGGTTAAGTATAGAGTGGACACATGTGTGTGTATGGTACATACTGTAAATAGACTTAGGCAACTAAAGGGAACAAAGTCTTTGAGTACTCCTTATTTTTGCATCATACATACGCATATGGAAACATCACTTGATTAATACAATTAGCCTAGGCTGTTGTATGCTGTTGAAACTTGAAGAAGAAGCCTTGTGGGCCAAATGTTGTTAAACCAAAATGTGTCAATGGAGTCCTTTATTCTGGTTATGGTGTTGAACTAGGTGTTTATTAGACAAGCTCATCTAGTTTAGGATGTAGATATTCACAACACATTTAACTGTTACATTCATAAAGAAAAAAAATATAAATGAGGGAATTTTATATTTTATCATCTGTTGATTTTTCTTTGGGGAATGATTTTTTAAGTTTATGACTAGAGAACATGTAATGGGACATTTTATATCACAAAGAAAAAAAGAAAGAAAGAAAGAGATGGGGAGGGAGTGAGATAAAGGGAGAGAGGAGAGCAGGAGGAGAGAGAAGAAAGAGAGAGAGAGAGAGAGAGAGAGAGAGGGAAGACAGAGAAAGAGAGAGGGGGAAGACAGAGAAAGAGAGAGGGGGAAGACAGAGAAAGAGAGAGGAAAAAAGGAGACGGAGGAGGGAGAAAAAGAGAGAGAGACATACACCCATGGAAGATATCTTACCCATGTGCCATTGTTCTTCATTCTGAATGCCAGCAGGAGAGCCGAGGCAGCGATGAGTGAGTCTGCTACGGTGATGAACGAACTCTCCATCAGCGAGAGCTCTAGGATGAACCTGGCCAGGGTCAGGGTTTCCAGAGTGGCATGGGCACACTGCACAAAGAAAAGAAAAAGAAACAAAATTAATCTAAAAATAATATCTTTGAAGCACTTTGAGATGATATTCTGTATGAATGGTTTTATAAATCCAGGGCCCTGTTTCATAGAACTTGTTACACTGTATCAAGAACACATGTTTTCTTGAAAACAAGTATAGATAGAAACTTTGTTCTTAGCCAATAAAATGCCATGATTTCAGTAGATTACAATAGTTATAATAACTTGATATTAATAACAAGTTTTATGAAATAGGGTCCTGATTTATTATTATCCATCACAAATTAGACACAAAGGTGCAAATCTAAAGTTGGTTAAAATAATAATGATAATGGATGCTTCTATAGCACTAGTATCGACTATGCAAGGTGCTCCAACATTGGTCCAGCTATAGCTAGGTGTCCATAGCATTCAAGGAATTATTTCCTTAGTTTCCTACCAGTTTGCCAGTTGGTACCACACCATTCCCCCCCCCCCCCAAAAAAAAAAAAAAAAAAAATCTTAGCAGTCAGGTAAAAAAACAAAAAAACAGAGCTGTGTATTATGTGCAAGAAAGGCATAATTATTAATCATCATTATTATTTGCAAGGACAATTACCTTTGCGTATCTCCTGAGGAAACGGTACGAGAGAGGGACACCGAGAGCAAAGTTGACCATCTTCAGCACCTTCCTCTCCATGTCTGTGAACTGATTCCTAGAGTAGGCGTCATCGCAGATGTACAGGAAGTCGTCTAGGGCTGGAGGTATACGCTCCTATTGACAAGAAAATTGCAGATATTTATGATTTATTGCATTCAATAAGCTCTGTATGTGAAAAACCAAAAAAAAGGCCTTAAAAAAACCCCTCAATCTGGCAGGCGGAGGGTGATGACTTGTCCACACTAAAAAAAAAAAGAAAAAAAAGAACAGGTTAAGTGTCACACTCTTCTTCAGTGGCCAGATGTGACAGATGTTTAAAATTAAATCTGTTTTTTGTTTATTGCATGCACTAGCTCTATACTAGACATTGTTTTGATACACAGGTCTAGGAGTTAGAAGCTTTTTTTTTTTTTGTATTCCTGTATTTCCATTTTAATTTTAATTCTAACTATAATGATCTAACCACAATTTTTTTCTTCGACGTTTATTTGGTCAACCATTATAACAACTCATAATGTTGAGACAAAGACCTCGTCCTTACTAGGACCCTAGGTAACTTGAGAGGAAATATCCATTAACAAAGAAATGGATATCAATTTATTATTGATTGAAAGATGTCCTTATTACCTTGTGGAGCTAATCATATCGGGTTTATAAGCAATACAAAAGGTGCTCTTGCTCAAGAAACCATGTCTTGGTAAGAGAGAGAAAGGCAGAAAGTGAGAGAAGGAAAGAGAGACACACAGAGAGACGGACAGAGAAAGAGACAGACAGACAGAGTGAGAGAGAGAGTCTAGAGAAAAAAAGAGTGAGACAGAGAGAGAGACAAAGAGAGAGGGAGAGAAAAACCCCAACCAGCTGCATGAAAGGTCTTGTAATTACGTTAAACTAGGCCAACACGAAATAATACCAGTTACTTTGAATACATTTAAAGTTGCTGATCTACAGCTGTACATTTATCATCCCCTACTGCACTCACGTCAAATTTGCAGGCGATGAAGAGCGACGTCGCGCCGAGGAGCTGCAGCAGGTCCTTGGCAATCTTGCACTTTGCGAGGTACATGTCCGTGAGCTTGACGGCCAGGTAGAGCGTCTCGTGATTCAGCTCAAAGTTCTCCTGCACCTCCACCAGCCAGTCGACCAGGACGGACCTCATGTGACGGGTGATGTCCTTCTGCATGTCAAAGTAGTCATCGATCTTGCTGGATTCCTGAGGCAAAAGGGATGAAATTCATCAATACCATAACATCATCAAATAATAAGAATAATTTGCGGCTCATGAAAACCAAACATTTTTGCACCGACATATTTGTTATGCTTGTTGGTATTCTTGCCGGGGGACAATTTGCCAATGGTTCTTTGCATGCATGAAGCATACAAAGCTTGATATTGGAACCAAGGATGTTACGAACTAGGGAGAAGCTTGTTCCAGATGAAAAATTTGCATATTAAATGTATTCATAAATGCCTTTTTTTTTAATCACCATCATTCATCTGTGTTTGAAGAGTGGCTATTAGCTCAGACTAAAAGGGTCACTTTTCCAAAGCAATAACATATTCAAATAATCACTTTCAGTTAATATAAATATATAATAAATGATGAATGAATGAAATGTCCTACCTCCTTCTCTTTGAGGTATCTGAAAATACCTGCAGCATATGTTGGGGCTAAGTTGGGGTCTCCAAAGTTCTCTGCGTCAATGTCTGTGTACTTTTCGATCTCCTCCTCTTCCTTCACCCTGGCTTGATCTTCCTCTACTGCATTGCACTCTAGTGAGATGGCTGCAACCTGTGCAAGGGTCAAGAACAGAGATTTTGTTATTATTAACATTCAGTAAGAAAATTGGGGAAAAATACGGAAATAAAGAGAAAAATCAGGAACATAAGGGAAAAATTAAAAAATCAGGAAAAAAAAAAAAATTAAAAAATCGGGAAACCGATTTAAATCAGATAATTATCAGGCCTGAATATTACATTTTGAAAGGGTAGAGGACTTTTATTTGAAAAGTCAAAATATTTTGGCTTCCTGCTAATTGTTACATGAATACTTTTACCCAACATTTGCTAGAAAATTAACAATATTGATTCTAATGTTTGACAACAAGACTGAAATTGACTCTTGAAACAGAGACATGGGCCCCTTACTAAGCTTAATTGTCAACTGGCTATGTACTATAGTCTATGAAATTAGTTGAAAACTAGCTTAGTAGTATAGTACGGCTTTATGAAAATGGGGCCTGGGTCTTGAATAAAAAAGAGCCGAGATTGTTTCCAATTGGTCGTAACTTGATCATGATCATGTGCAATTCTATACTATAGAGATATGAGTTTGCAAAGTTTGTAATTTGATTGTAGGACTTGCACTCAATTTATGAGACTCTTTATACGACATGGCCACTATGTAAAATAATGATGAACAATACAAAAAGTTTGCATTCATACTCACTTTCTACAATTGAAGAAACATACAACATCAAGAAAACACACATGGAAAACTAATATTAATCAAGTAATCAACTTGCAAAATACAACAATGGCATTGTTTTCTACATAGTGGGAGCTAGTAGCTTCAAGTGGTACAGTGGGGCTTTAATGAAAATGAACAATCTAACATTCCATGAAGTTCTTTGTAAAGCCAAGTAACATGTATTGTGTGTTATTTGCTACTTACTGCATCTTTGATCTCAACGCTGGGTGATTCGACGACCAGATTCCTCTTGTTCATGGACTCCACAAAGCCTGCCTCCTTGGAGCTGGATGGAAACAGGGTGGAAAGCAGAATGGGCGTTAAATAATGCCTTAATTCAATCACAACCAAAACAATGTATTTGGACAATGAATCAGTAACCTTTCTATCATTTTATGAATGCAGTTAATTCAAGAGACATAAGCATCTCTAGTTTATCTTATAGGTACTATGTCCCATTTGCAGGCCCAAAAAAATGAAAAGGTTGAATTCCGACGACATTTGAAAGATAATACTAATTCAGAAAAATCCCTAAAAACGAAAGGGCTTGAAAATGTTTTTAAGTGGGAAAATAACAACCATTAGTTGTCAAATCAACTTTAGTGATTGCAATCACTAAAGTACTGGTCTGATTTTCAGAACCTTGTACCGAATGGTCATACGTTTTGTGCTGCGCAAACATTCAATCAGTTTAATTTTGGCCATTAAAAGAATTGGGTTATTGATGTAGAAAAATGCTCATGTACCGTTTACAGCTCATTTTATGTATGTACATTTTATTACCAAAGAAAAAAAAGAAGTCAGTCAGTCACTCAATAGTGACAGTGAAGTCTAGAAGGTAAACGGTTTCCTTCCATAATTTGAAGATTACTGTAGGACACTGCTAATATTTAAATTTCACAGATAGGACATACTGTACATGACATGTTCATAATTCCTATGAAGTTCTAAAGACTTTGATGCTGGCTGTAAATGGGACATAGAACCTTTAAATTGAAATATTCACTTAGCAATAAATCTGGTTCCATGGTCTATAACAGTGTTGCAAGTTGCTATATGCACTGAAATGCTACTCATGAACATAGAGTTGGGTATAAAACCTAATTTTATTCAAGGAGGTATATTCAGTGGGCAGCAAAGATAATCAGGTATTTGTACCTGTTTTACATGTACTCCTGATAAAAGAAAGTAAGGAAAGAAAGGCAGAAAGAAAGGAAGTGAAGTGACAAACTGGCAATACCTTGTGCTGGGTTTGCTGTCTGGCAAGATGGCTGTCACAGCTTTCTGCGTCTCTGCTGGGGGTACCCTCGGGTCTTTGGGAGCATTCACCTTGACCTTTGACACCACCTTGATCGGAATGGAGGACTTCAGAGGGGGCTTCTTGGCTAACCCTTTCTTGGGCTGCCCCAAAACATTTTTACTGGTGAAGGCCTGCATGGTAGAAATATGAGATTGAAGGAAGAAATTAAATTAAGTTATGTACAATGAATAGGCGCTGGATACCGTGTTAACTACTTATTTCAAATATGTTTTTATTTGAAAGGGGGCTTCTTGCCAAGTGCATGTACATGTAACCTGAAGTAATTGGAGAATAGTGATTATTCTAAGTAAATCAAAAAAATAAGTGTGCACAAGCCTGGTCGAATTATAGACAATACTTCTTGATATCTATAAAGCAAAAAGCATGAAAACTTCCCATGGCTTATTTCATTTTTACGCTGTCCACAGGATGGAAGGGATTAATAACTTTGGATTTCATTCTTACAGCTGTCATATTCAACCTCAATCTGCCAGTGAACCTACAATGTTATTACTTACATTTGTGATGTCACCAAATGCTGCCCTCTTCTTGCTCGGTCCCTGAATTCCACCCACTTCGTTGGATTTCCTCTTGGCCCTGGTGATCATCGGCAATTTGTCCTCCCGAATCTGGTTCAGGAAGAGTAAGGATAAAAAGAGAAGGTTGAGTTCTGCTGTTAAATGCGATTAATCAATTTGTGATCAAGAAGTTTAAACATGTAACAGCGACGGGTTCGCCATTGAAGAATGAAAGCCTGGCACACACTATACAATCCAACAACGATCCGATTCTTGAAGAAATGACAATTGTATATGGAAATCTAAATAAAGAATGTACGTTTTGCTGATTTAGATTGTAAATGAAGATTTGACTAGAATACTAACAAAAAAGATGCCTGATATCCTCTAAAATAGTGATTTTATTGAACACAAGACTAATCAGATCCTTGATTATTAAGATTTTACATGCTTGAATGTTTGTATTTAACATGCCATTCTAAATTCTTCCAACGTTTGATTGCAGTTGGATCGTGTAGTGTGCCATGGGCAAGAGAGTTCTTCTTGAAAAACAAAACAACATTAATTCAAGGCTTTAGATTCATGCAGCCCCCGAAATGCCCAAAAGAGCCAAAAAAATCTGCATAGAGTTCAATGCAAAACAAATTAAAGAGAAGGTTGAGTTCAGGGAAGAGGTGAAAAATAATTTGTGAGCATTACTCATTCTTATTATGCAAGTGTGGAAGAACATTGACAGTTAAGACATGTTCCCTGAAAAGTATGACTCTTCAAATGCCTTTATATTCTAAATATGCATGTAACATCGTAAAAATCGGGGGCCGGCTTTTTACGCCACGTGTTCGTGTAGTCCCATATACATCTTTCTGTGCAAGTGTTTGTAACTTTACCAAGACTTGGCCACATTTCTTATCATTTTGATGATTCCAGAACCTTGCAATACACACAAATTCTTATATGCTAGATGATCAACCTTTTCTGGTCGGTTCCACACCGTTTCTTTCACAATGCAATTGCATGACCAGAACTCAACTTCATCTTTAAAGAGTGTTATTTTCATGCCAGCAAGCTTGAAAAGTATTTTTTTCCCTGGATTCATGACAGTTAAAAAATTGAAGAAGAAGACGAGGATAATGAAGAAGAAAGGAGGAGTGGGGGGGGGGGAGAAGGAGTGAGAAGGGGGGGAGAGAAGGAGTGAGAGGAGGAGGGGGAGAAGGAGTGAGAGGAGGAGGAGGAGGATTGAGATGAGGAGTAAAGAAGAAAAGGAAGAAAAGGAAGAAAAACACAACAGCAAACAACAAAAGCTTACCTGGGCTGCAACACCTCCATTTCTTTTCAAATTGACAGGCATGATGTGTGTAGAAATTAGATGGCTGAAGAAAAAAATATGTTCGCTCGTCTAGTAGGCACTGCCCTGAAGATATTATACAGTCAGAGGTTCACGCTGTGCTGTAGAAATAAACAAAAGGAACAAATGATTCAATGAAAAAATACTTCTGATAGGAATTTAATCTTGATAATTGATGGTTTGATGATTGATCACATGATTTAGTGAAGAACACTGCTTGTTGTTTATCCAGTTTCTTTATTTCAAAATCATTTTCCTAAGCAGGCTCTGGAGCTCTTGATGCCTTTGGCAGCGGATCGTCCGTATTTTCGCAGACGTTTCATATTTCCGACCCGCGCGTTGGGGATGCGAAAAACAGATTTTGCAATTATTTTCTTTATGCACTTTAAATTGACTTTGTAGTAGATCTAGGCCTAGACTCTACTTTGTAGTTGTAGATCTAGGTCTACAGAGACTTTCACGCCATGAGCTATAAATCTTCGCAAAGACAGACAACCCGAAAAAGTAGACGATAAACTGGGGTTATTTTCTTGCGTTGAATCCATTTTCTGCATCGCCAGCGAGCATAGGCATAGCACCGATGAAAAAAAAAAACGTCCAAAAAAATGCAGACGATCCTTTCTTTCGAAGGACGCAATTATTTGTTCGCGTTTACGGACCAGCCAAATTAGGAGAACCATCATCAACCAGGCAGGAGGGAGTTGCATGGAATGGACAACCATCTAATTCTAAACTCAGCACCAGCAGCCAACGCACAAATCTGTGGTTATTTGAGAAAGTTTGATCTTTGTGGCAGTTTGTGCACATTCGAAATCGTAATTCGTATGGACTTGTCTTTCATGCAATAGCTCACACTGCACTGCACTGACTGTACGCATTCATTCATTCAATCATTCATTCGCATTCACCATGCATGTATACGTGCACATCATCATCATACGCACTCATCCACGTTCCACTGTTCGAAATTTGACTTTGTCGTTTTGTAACGACTCTTATTTAAAAACTACCAATTTTTACGAACTACTGAACTCACCTCAGGAACGTGGATAGTTAAAATGAGCTTAATATTCTCCTTATTAGAACCAAGCCATCACATTCGGCCAAAATTTTGTACTGAATTTAGCAAGATTCAAATTCGACGCGTCCTTTTCCAATGCTGCGGGCGTAACTTTTGTTTAGTGACATATCCAGAATGGCGAATGTTGATTGGTCCGTTTGTCTCGCACCTATTTTACCTTTATGAGTAGTCTATAAATACTTTATACCCAGACGTTGTGTGTACGAACAGGTTGTGTGTAGTACGTTTATATTTGAAGTTTCAAGCAATTATATTTCATAAATCTTCTAAGACTTATGTTTGACAATATTATAAAAGACTAATGTCACTGATGCTAAGTGCTATTTGATTAACATTTTTTGTTGAATCTATAAAAATAGAAAGCTTTCTGTTTTTGATTTCCCGGATTTATTGATCAAAAAGATGTACAAAAGGATATATGTAGACTAATTAACATCATTCTTTTCAATCATAATTAAAACAAATGAGAAGATTCATAACTTGAAACCTATTACATTAAAATTCCCTCACTTGACTTAGAACAGGGTTCTTAAATCGAAATTCCAATTCTGATTCGTTGAAAAATCAGATATGGTGCAAATGTTTTCAGTAGTGGCTTGGAGGCTATAGACTAGGCACTATGATGCCGGTGGGGAGGGTGGGTGGGGACGTGGGGTTTACCGGTGGTGGGGTTGGGGTGGGGTTACCGCTAGTGGGGTGGGCGAGTGGGCGTGTAATGCAATAGAAACTGATATCAGTATAAATTAAAAAAAAGTTGTTTGATCCCCTAGTGCTATGATGAATAACTAAGCTCTTTCACGCAATTTCAACAACATTTTGTATCATGTGCGGAATGTACATACGACATTCTCAGGGGCGTACACAGGATTTTTTCAAGGGGGGTGTTTTAAAATTTGAAAATCGCGCCGAAAACTCAACCAGAACTCAACCTTCACTTTTTTTTTCTTGTTTGGCCCCGGAAATTGGAAAATGACGTCGTCAGATATTTCGTTCAGTGGCTTGGGAGGGGGGGGGGGGGGGGGGGGAGGGAGGGAGACATCTTTTTTTTTAGCACCATTTTTAAAATATTTTTTAAACAATTAAAAAAAATTGAGGGGGTCCCTCCCCCCCCCCCCTCCCATCGGGAGTGGACACGTACCCCCTTAATTTTGTTTATAGGGGGATCGTCCCCCCCCCCCAGAAAATTGGAAAAAGCCCCCCCCCCCCCCTCCCCCCCCCCCCCCAAATGTAGAGCAACTACTGACAAAAGACTGCAACACACTTTTAGGCTATGGAGGGCTTAAGAGTGCAACGTTTAGACTTATACAACTGCAACAATCTTCTCGCTCGGTCGCTATAATATAAACCTTCCTTGCATAATATCCTTCAAAATGTACAAGTAAATATTGTAGAAAACCTGTATTCCGTTGGTATCACGTAAGCACAGTTTACACTGTTTTTACAAGATTATAGAAATAGATCAGTGCTACACAAATGAATATTCAGCTTGCTCTTTTCAATAAGGAGTCACTACAACATATTCTATATATTTGCCATAGGCTGAAATTTCCACTCCCATATAGCGAGATCAATATATACCCGTATAGACAGAGGCCTAGAGAGGGAAATAGAAATCCCATCCATGGCCAGGCCAAGCTCCCTACTTATTATCGGCAAAGTAAAAGTGTGGAAAAAGGTATATTGCTTGGTTTTATAGTATAGTTTTGCTAATGAATGTAATTTTTTAATATAACAAAATTTAAAAACCAGTGAGGGAGTCACTACCGTCATCTTCGTCCCTCTCATTCTCTATGATCCCTCGTCCCTCACACCGGCGTATTGATGGAGGGGGGGGGGGGGAGCTTGGCGGCAGTTTTTCTCAATTTTTTGTAAATTATAATTTTGTGTGCGTTTATGAAATATGACAAATTCCCAAATTTACAGTCAAGCAAAAAATATGCCTATTTAGAAGCCTACATGTCAGGGCCCGCGAATCAGCTGGGCTCGGGGGATCGAGCCCCCCCCCCCCCCCCCAGCCCCCCACTTTTTTGAAAATGTGTGTCGAAGAGAAAAAGAAAGAAAGAAAGAATGGTGACCCCCTTGTCCCCCGCCTGGGCTTTGCCTCTGGACCCCATACCAATTTACGCTCACCGTTAGCTCGCTACGCTCTACCTGATATTTAATAACTTCGCCCATCTCCCCACTTTGAAAAACCTTCCGCGGGTCATGCATGAATTATGTAACATATAAGAGTGGTGGTGATGCGGATTTTTTTTCTTCCTCTTCCGCCCCTCCCCCCCCCCCCCCAAAAAAAAGTCTTTTGCTCATTACGCCACTGGTCCCTCGCATTTCGTCCCCCGGTCATAAACAGAAATCGCCGACCCTTGAGATAAGTTCCTAAACCGCCAGCTGAGGGTATAATGAGCACAGTTGACCCAAGATTGTTTGAAGCTAAGAAGGAGGGGGGGGGGGGGGGGGAGGGAAAGATTTTACCCGACAGAACTGTTTATCCATATAGAGCGTGATCTTGATAATCTTGCCACTTGATCTCTTTCAATAAGGAGGGAAGAAGTAGTTTTCTCGACCCCCCCCCCCCCCCCCCCCCCTGCGGCCGTTTCGCCTCCTTTCGCACACCAAAATTTGTCTTTTCTAAAAAGCAAGTAAATCACCTCAGGCGGGCTTATTAGGCATAATATAGGAATAATAATCCGCGGGGGGGGGGGGGGGGGTTGGGGGAGGGGTTAACGTCAGATTGATTAGGGCTCATGCATATTATAAGCTTCCCTCGCCAACATTTTTAGAAAATAATAAGTTGATATTGTATTGCCCTTTAGGGGCCATATGAACATGAATAATATCAATAAATGATTATGACATCGTACTGTCAATCAAACAGCTCTCATAACGCATGCAATGAATGCAGGCAGCTGTCATGTGTTATATAAGCCCCGCCCATTACCGGTTTCATAACTTACCTTTCATAACATCGGCTGTAAACACTAGAAGCTGTGTTACCTCGGAACATTTCCTCGAGCTGTGCGGGTCATAAGCAGAGTGTCAGCATACCAAAGTTATTTAGAGACAAGTAGTTTTCAATAATCAAAGGTATGAAATTACTGTATTCTTATATATTCATATTATATTAGAACTATTGTTTTATTCAGATTGCATAATTACAAGTCGGTCCCACACGCTAAATTCGGTGTATGTTTACACTGAGCTACCATGTCTAAGCCTCGATTTTCACTTTTGACTTTTGTTCAATTTTGATGGATGGTGGTGCCTAAAATACAATTAGATTGATGAATAAAAGTGTAAATAGTATCTTTTTTGCTTGTTTAAGGCTCAGATGGAGTTTAGTGTGCATTTGGTAGAAAAAATGGTAGTGAATTGGATCAGAGAAGACGAAGAAGCTAAGTTATACCACTCCAGCAAAGCATAGAATATATGAAGGATGAGAGGAATTAGAAAAAGAAGAAGAAGAAGGATGAGAGGAAGTAGAATAAGGATGAGTAGAAAAAGAAGAAGAAAAGGAGGAGGAGGAAATAAAGGAGGAAGAGAAGGATTAGAAATAGAAGAAGAACACTTTTGAGTTTTGTGTTCATGTTTTATAAGATAAGGCATTTTCCTTATAATGTTAAATGTAGTAATAGGATGGCATCTAAAAGTGTTATTTTTAATGTGTATTTTAGTGATCATGAATAATCAAAAGAATTCATTTGCAGCTATTTTGTTTGCACATTGCCTTGATTTGATCGTAGAAGCAAACTCCCTTTTTTATAAAAAATTTCATTTTGTTGCCCAGTCCCATCCATTCAGATCTATGTTGTTGAAGACCATCACCAGGAAGGGAACTCTGCTGCTCCAAGGCCTATACCACCACACCAGACATCAAAGACTAGTACCTGGGGTCACCCTCGTAGCCACCGCCTCCATCTTTAGTTGGTTTGTGGTGACAAACCTCCAGCCTAGGATCCAAGACCAACCGCCAAACTCCCCAGTCCACACGTCACCAGAGAAGTCAACTCAACACTCAGACAGGTATGAAGTGGATACAATTAAATCTCTTCTCAAAGATAATAGACTTTTTTAAATCTTTCATTTTTAAAGATTTTATTTGAATGTACATAGCCTAAAATGTAAGTTTAAATGTAACCTATTAAAAGACTTTTTTTTGCCTTTAGGTTTCAGTTTTTGTTAAGTGTGTTAAAAAATATCCTTAATTTGATTTCCTTTTCCTTGTTTCCTTAATTCTAAAAGGCTTGTTGTAGAAAATTCAATATGATTCATTTCGTGAATGAAATATTACCCAAGATGTTAGTTTTCTTTTATATTTTGCTGTCAGTATAACAATTTAGAATTAAAGGTAAAGACCAGTATTGGAAACGCCCCAATTTCAAAAAAAAGAAATGGAAGCTCTCATTACCAATCATGTGAAAGAATATGTTTTGACTAATACATGATGATAACAAATTTGCTGGGAAACCGCCTACTAATTCATATATTTGGTAAATTTGTTTCTCTCATGGTCTGTGAGAGATATAGGGTAGTCCCATATACATCTTTCTGTGTATAGTACTTGTAACTTTACGAAGAATGGGCCAAATTTCTTATCATTTTGATGATTCCAGAACCTTGCAGATGCTAGATGCTAAATGATCAACCTTTTCTGATCGATTCCACAACGTTTCTTTCACAATGCAATCGCATGACCATAACTGGTCTTTACCTTTAATGTTTTGTCTCAACCCTTCTCCCCCTCCCCCAATATACAGCAGACAAAAAATAAATACATTCTCATCCATTCTTGAAGTTTGGTATGTACATATCATGTGAAATGAAAATGTTTTGAAATTGACTTCAATTTAAGATCCAAAACGGCATAGAAAATACAAACGTCCGAGTCTATTTGATTAAAATAGGCCTCAATTAGGCCTATGCAATAATTTTCTCTGAACTTCATATTGGAAGGTAGTCATTTTTAAGTAGGTCAAACAAACTTCAGGCCTGGTTGTTTAGCTACAGAGATTTTAAAATTGGAAGTCATGGATATATACTCAATTGATGAATTTGTTTAATCGTCATTTCTGTAGACTTAATCACTCTTGTTTCTCCAGCACCATGCCACATACCAACAACAAGATGCGTGAGGACGCCCTGTACGGCATGTTTATAGGCGACTCCCTCTCCATGCCTGTCCACTGGTACTACGACACAGACAACATCAAGAGGGATTTCAACGGTTGGTTGACCGGATTCGAAGCCCCTCGCAAGAGACATCCTACGAGTATCTTGACAATATCAGCAGTAGGTACGTTGTGTTCGAAGTTATGTATTTCCCTCTGAAAGAAATCTGTCATTGAACTAAAACAGAAGTGTATTAAACATTTGTAAAAACCATGTCTTGTTCTTTTGAACAAACTAGAGACAGGTGCCTGTCAAAATATCAATTCTTCCTCTGAATAACCATAAGGAACTATACAGTAGGCTTGCGGGTGCACCGTGTGAGAGAGAGAGAGAGAGGGAGCCTACTGTATATCTATATCATCATGCAAGCCGATACTTACAAGCAGCATAAGGAACTAGTTTTTGTTCGCATCCTTTACAGCAGCACCTAGATGCAAATTTACAAAAGTCATCTACATACAAATTAAGGACGAATACGAATTCCTGCAGAATTATAAAACTTGATTTAATAAAATGTTTAATTGAGGTTTGATCCTGGACAGTACTATACAAGAAAGAAATGTACCAATGCATAATACACAATATAGATTTCAATAACCAACACACATTAGTTGACATTCATTATGATGACATATGATGAAATGCCTTATTTTCTACGATGATTAATCAATGGATCGTTTGAGAACCTTACAGTCTCAATTTCATATTGTCAGTTTAATTACAGGATCACACTTTAATATTGTTTGTCGTTACTAGAGCCTTCTACATTCAGTCTCTCTCTTCTCTTCATCCATCTTTCCTGTTATTTTCCTTGCTTGTATACCTTTCCCCTCCTCTTCTCAATGACTTCTAACTCTGCTTTTTCTTCTTTCTTTTCCTTCAAACAAAAAAAATCAATTGGATTATATTAATCATGTTAATTATGATTCACATTTACCATGCCAAATTGTGTATCATTCTTTTATTCCTTATAATATGTTGATAAAGTATTGTTATGTATTATGATATTTATTTATTTTTGTTTTTATTTGTAAACAAATTATATAATTCAGCCTAGACTGTGAAACAGATTTTGAATGAATATACCATTAAATAAATTTAATTAATATATATTCCTTGAATATGTTTTTTATTCTCCAGGTGGTGCAGGTAGATCAACATTCAGTGGGAAGCAGAAGAGTGTTATAGGTGATATCATCTTACATGGCAAGCTGCAATACTGGACCAAGAACGATAGATCAGTGCATTACCATCAGGGTAAGATAGACACATCAATTAGTATGCTTTATATATTCTTCTTCTCCTTCTTTTTCTTTTTCTTACTTGGGTATACTTGGGTGTAGAGACTGGAAGCTTAGCTTATTTGTCCCTCTTTACTGTTGCATCCCGTCTCAAGTATGGTTCAAACTGAATTGGATTGTTTCTCCAATACCTTTCTAGGGATGACTTGAATTGGTTAATGGTGGCAGCATTGACTAATTCCTTAGGCAGGGCATTCCAATTATTTACATTCCTTATTGAGAAACTATAGGCCTACTGCCTAAGTTTTGTGTTGAAACGCTGTTTGACAATCTTGAAATCATGGCCTCTTGTCGTTGAGCCAGTGGCGGCGGCTTCTTCTTCTTCTTCTTCTTCTTCTTCTTCTTCTTGTAGTACGGTAGTTGTAGAAGTAGTAATAGTGGTGGTGGTAATAGTAGTAGTACAGTAGTAGTAGTAGTAATGTTATCATCATGACTATCATCATCATTAGCATCTATGAAGCTTAACTGCGAGTACCCAAAACCAGCTTTCACTTGACTGTTCAAAATCTCTTTACATTTGATAGGGATGGCAGCAGGTGACAACACACTGAACAATCATTGTGCGTTGAGGGCAGCAATCCAAGCCTCTAAAGACCCCGATGCCTCGTATGACGCTGTCCTCTCCTCCATCATGACGGACTACGTCCATTTTATGACCACGCCCAACACCCACAACGACACCTACGCAGAATCCTACCATAGAGAGTTTTTCAAGTGAGTATGGAAGACAGAGGGGTTCATAGGGGTTTGATCATAAGAATGCTTGATATAAATCAAATCAAATCAAAACACTTTATGGAAATAAAATCCACAATTTGGATTTGTATGCCTACGTATTGCATCGAGAGCTCAAGAAAAGCGGGTGCTGCTTTAAACGATTAGAGAGAGACAGAAGAAATGGCTTGGACACATAATGCGGCATGATGAGGGCTTGATGATCAGAGTCATAGAAGGTCATATACGTGGAAAGAAGAAGAGGGGAAGACCTCGCAAAGGCTTCCTAGATGATGTAATCACAGAATGTGGAGCAACAGGGTATGAAATGCTGAAACGGATGGCTCAAGACCGAGGAACTTGGAGAGACACTTGATATAGAATTTTGATTGGGTCACTGAACCTGTCAGTTTATGAAAGATGCACTATTGATGATGATGCCTCTGTTACAAAGTAGCCAGAGGCATTATGTTTTTGGGTTGTCCATATGTCCTGTTTTCGTAATCGTGTTATCTCAAGAACCGATTGATGGATTCCTGGGCGATTGTTGGGCACTTGATGCTAATGCTAAACATAACTATATTCAATTTGACTTCTTAGATAAAATACTTATTATTTAAAATTATTATTTTTTTCTTCCCAAAAGAGGCTGGGAGCATATTTAGCCAGGCACAATTTTACAAATGCTTACAAATGCTGACAATTTTTAACAAAATTATATTTGACTTCTGCATCCTATCAGGTGCCCATTCAACACCTGGATGAAGAGAAGCAATTTAGATAAAATGCCCACCTTCTCCCTTTTTTCCCAATAGGAGCTGGGATAAGAATGGTAGCCCAACACAACCAGAGGAAGTAATGTCATACGTAGAGAAACGGGTCAAAGACCTAGAAAACAAGCATCTCGATCACAATATTGATGGGATAGGTGCCCTTGTTCATCCTATCCCTCTCATCATTCAGTATGCAGACAAACCGGTAGATGAAGCAGCTAAGGTAAGAACCAGCAGAGACCTGTTTCACAAAGCCTTTTTGCAATGACAAGTGACAAATCTGCTGATAACCAATCAGAAGCAAGGATTTCAGTAGCTTATAACAAAAATTGTCATTATGTTCACTGATGACAAGTTTAGTGAAATGGGGCCCAGGTGTCGCTTTTTTTTCTTGCAGGTTTTTTTTTGTAGGGGGGAGGGTGGTAGAACTCCCATTCAGAAATTCCCGACAAGCGAGGGGGAAAACAAGAAAGAAAGAAAGGTTCCAACATTTTTGGATGCAATATACTCCAAATTTATTTGACAAGCAAGCAACAAAAACCCAAATAATCACATTTTTAGCTTGCCTTTTCATTAAAAATGAATTCATAAGAGAGGTTGACCCTTGGTCATATTTTGGGATGAGTGTAATCGAGGAACCCTATGCCACTTGGATTTGAAAATGGGCATTGGCTACTCAAGAGACACAAGAAAATGTAGGCTCTATGTAGCAGTTACTTTTGTACAAGTTACCAAAAGAAAACCTTTAAAAGGAAACACAGAATGCCCAAGTGGCCTTGTTTATATATACATTTACGAGGACAGAGGTTTTTTTAAAGCAGGTTTCATTGAAATTGTTATCAATAACAAATGTCACATATCTATAACAATATTGCTCTCAGCCAATCAGATGCAACTATTTCATTAGCTTATTACAGTTACTGCAACTTTTTATTGATAATAAGTTTTATATACCTCACTTAAGAAATCCAGCCATCTGATTGGTCGAAATTGCATTCATAAACTTCAACTATTTCTGTAAAATTCCCAGTAACCGTGGTTAAAACAGTTCTATAATCCCAGTAACCATGGTTATTGGGAAAATAGTTCAGTCTCCATGGTTACCCCATAGGTTTACATGTTAAAAAATGGTCTGAGCGATCGAGGATACTGTACGTGTGCGAAGAATTGGTCGGTAATTTCAATACAATTGAATCTCGATCGATCTTACCGACAATTTTATCTTGCATTGTTGACATGAAGACGAAATAAACTTCCAAAAACAAAAAAACAACATCTGCCGATAGATCTTGATCTAAATTCGTGCCAATATGCATTGCAAAAGTAAAAGAAGGGCCTGTTTAATGGAGCAGCCGCGAAGCATCCACCACGCGAAGCCATTTTCAATCCATTTTATTGTATATATAAGAAACAACTGCAATGTATTGTAACAGAGCGCGATAGCCAAGCGGTTTAAGGCGGTGATTTTAGTTACATCACCCTTTGTACGCAAAAGATCGAATCCCATCTTCGACAAAAGTTTTTTATTTTTTATTTTTTTTAATTTTTTTTTTGGCATATAAAAGTATTAATGACTGCTTTAATATTCGAGAAATAGTTGTTTTTATACGCTCTCGGGAAGGTTACAATTGGGCTATTGCCCTCGGCACGCCTCGGGTAATAGCACAATTCTAACCTTCCCTTGAGCGTATAAAAACAACTATTTCTCTCAAAGCAGTCATTAATACTATAATATGAAACAGGGCCCTGAAGACCTTTATCTTGCTTTGATATGGCATACCTATTATTTACAGTGGTATATTAAATGAAAAGTGATATATCATGATGCAATTATCACTCCCTGTTCGACAGACTTTACCTTTATATGCCCTTTGCCCTCAGCAAGCGGTGAAGTTGACCCGCATGACCCATGCCTCGGTCAACCTTGACCCTTTCGTGGATGTCTACGCCCGTACTCTCCATGGTATCCTCAACGGGGAAAGCCTTAGAGAGAAGATCAACGAAGCTCTCACGTCGCCCCCTATTGGCAATGTCAGGCTACCCAAACTCTTTGAAGAGTACTCCAAGAAAGCAAGAAAGTGAGTTCAAAGGGCAATTGCGATTCAATAAGAAAAATTAAGAATTTGATCTTCCAAAGCATGAACAAAATAATTTTGTTAACCCCTATTTTCTAAACTATGAACATTAGAAAAGGATCTTTGGTTATGTGTATACAAATGTGATATGGTTTCCTGACATGTTGGCCGGGTACAAAATTCACATTTATTTTTCGATCTAGCAAACTCAAGTTATTGAAAATTTGATACTTTCAAACAGAGTACTTTGCAAACACAGTATGTACAGTGTACAGGAATATACAGACACAGTTTGTTCCTGCAGGGGACTTTATAACTGTTCAGGTATTATTAGGCTGAGAGATGGGATTAGAAACCTACCAGTCTGCATTTGTTTCATTAAATTAGATTGGGACTCAGTGGACTGTTAACATTTCTTTCATGCTGCCTAAAGGTATAAAGGGATGGCAAAGGTTCAGCGAAGAGGTTGAGAATCTACCAGTCTCCTTTAATCTCAAATAAGACTGGACTGTTAACATTTATTCCATTCTCTGTCTTTATGTAGGTATGAGAAGGGCTCAGAGAAGAGATTAGAAATCTACCAGTCTGCCGTTAGTCAGATGGGTTTGGCTTGCTACATCAAGGGATCTATGGTATCCATGTTTTTCCTTGCCTATGAATTCCATGATGACTTTGAAGGTGGTATGTTAGCGAACACAAACTGTGGAGGTAAGACCGTCATTTCAAATACCTGTAACATTTTAAAGATAAGTCTACTTTAAAGGTGATACAAAGTTTTGGTATTGGGTCATGAATTTGGTTCAAATGAACATATTGGAAACATATGCGATCCTACAATATTCAGTGATCGTTGTCGCGGTTGAAATTGAGTCTTAAGTTATGGAATTGTAAATAATAAACTCTTTATGATGTAAAGCTCCCTCTTAAGGTCAAGATATTAATTAAGCCATAAAACAATGTTTTTTTACTAAAATCGACCGATTGGCTATTTCCGTTTGGAAATTATATATCACAACTACAATTCTGAGATTTTCATGGTCGCAGCTACAACTGTATGGCCATAAGCGCTCTTGATGTTCAATTTTATACGAAAGCAGAAGTGTTTTAGGGGCTAATTTTTCTAGTGCTTATAATACATCCACAGGGGCATCCAAATATATCAGAGTTGTAAAGAATTGCTATCCAACCAATTTTCAAAATTTCCCAAAACTTTGTATTACCTTTAACATCTAGAAAAGCCTACAGTCCATTATGTTTTTTAAAAATTGAGTGCGTTCCATTTTTAGAAATTACAATAGCATTCTTTTTAATTTCTTTATTAACCGCATTTGAAGATTCTAGGCCGGCACTAAATGGGTAAAAACTGAAGGCATGAAACTCGCAACTGACTGCTGAGCAGTATATAGTGAAAAATAGTGATTATAGGCATAGTTCTCCTTGCCCCTACAATGCAAGAACGCAGTGAAGTTAAAGATGGACACGTAAAATGATGAAATTGTGAATAATAAACTTTTTATTTTGTATAGCTCCCTCTCAAGATTGATATTACTCTAGCTTTAAAACAAGATGATTCAATGTTTCTTGACTAAAATCAACCAATTTTCTATTCCCGTTTGGAAATTATGTATCACAACTGCGTATTCCAAGATTTTCATGGTCGCAGCTACCATTATGTGGCTGTAGGCGCTATTTGAATTTTATCGGGAGCACCAATAAATTCAATATTTTGATTTCTCGAAATTCCTTAGCGTTTTAGAACCCAATCTTTTCAAAGTTGCTAATTCTAACAATATAGGTTTCACAATGGTAATGCAAATTTTAGATATCATAATCAAATCCTGTTGAAATATTACCCAAACTTTGTATATTACCTTCAACAATGAAACTTTGAAATCACATGTAAATATACATATTTGTTCAGTTTTCAATATCTTTTAATGTATTGTCATTGTATTTTAATTCCAGTTACTTTTTACTCTGTAAATTGAACAACTTCAGCCCTTAGCTGCATTTTCATCTGTTTTTTTACCCCAATAAACCAATGACAACATAATACAACAAAATATTTAGCAGCTCTGTCCCCCTTTTCTTTACCCCAGGGGAGAACTGTAACCGAGGCTCGGCTCTTGGGGCTCTTCTGGGAGCGGAAGCAGCACGGATAGGCAAGACGATACCTGAGAGATTCAAGTCTGGATTGAACATCCTGAAACCTGGCATTCAGTCGGTAGTAGATAAATGGTGATGTGGTTGAGTGGTAAGGGTGCATGCTTAAGTTTTTTTGTTGAAAGAGGAGGTTGATTTCCGGTGAAAAGATAGAAATCATTTGTGTGTGAGCATTCATATTCCTCTTGTGTCAGTTCGAAAGGATATCATAATAGAAATATCCCCTGCAAAGATTGCCCTTCAAATGTTGTCCAATTCATAATATGACAACAAACATACCGGGCATTTTTTACCAAACATTCATGCCACGTTTGTGTGCAGTTTTGTACAAACATTTATTTCTGTGTGCACTTTTCCTCAAGATGGAGTCTTGAGGAAATTTTATTTGTAAATTTGTTGGATGATTCCAAACAGCAGTATCCATGACAATTGTTATATACTGCATACTAATCATTGTAGTTGCATGACCAACTCAGTTGGATTAGATTAAATCTGATCTGAAAACACAATCGTTCTAGATTGTGTAAAGTTTTTGTGACATTAAAACAATGATGTTCTAATAGGCATAGAGATCATGTTGGTATTGTGCATTTACTAAGCAATGTGATATTATTATTTGTAGAACCCTGTAGCAAAAAATAAAAGGCTTTTCCAAATGATACCCCCTTCATTTTATTTCTCTACAAATATTTGCAATGATGTGGAACATTATTCATGCTGTGGAACTGCGGTAGATTATATTTGAGTTTAGTTCTTTCTTTTCAAAGGATACACAGGACCTTAGAAATTCACTCCCTTGCATCTCCGCCAAGTTTTTTGTATCTCCTTCAATCAGATGTATTTTTTATGATTAATATGCTGTAACAAAAACAGATAATTCATGCAAGATACAATCAACTGTACCAAAAAGGGAGATACAATTACCAGACCTGCCAACCAGTACGATTAAGTCATATTTAGTACGATATTTAGAAGCAAATACGACAGTACGATTTTCCTCAATAAAATACGATTTTCAACAAAAATTAATTTTTAATTTTGTATCTGTGTGTGCCATTTTCAATGGCAAAATGCCCATTCTGTCCTATAAAGTATCCTACAAGCATCTCACATCTACAATTTGGGGATGTTCATTGGTTCATCGAACACACCAGTCGCGACGAAATCATGCATATTCGACCAATGATCTATAAAAAAAATTCTTCCTGTATTTAGGAACTAAAAGAGGCATTGATCTGCGTAACAGTCAGTGTTTTTTTTTTAGAATACAACTTTTGTCAGTAAAATACAACTTTTGGGATTTAAGAATACAGTTTTTGAACTCCAGAGGTTGGCAGGTCTGAATTACATCAAGGAGACGCAATGGCTCAGTGGAGCAGTGTTCTCGTAACCGGGAGGACTTGGGCTCAAAATCAAGTCGATGTGCTAGCTAGTGCCCTTTGGTAAGGCATATATAGTCACCGTTACCAAGTCCATCGGAGAGGACTTAAAGCGGTTGGTCCCCTGGTTGCTTACTTACAAGCATCCACATAGCAGTCGGGTAAAACAAATCATCAAACCAAACCATATAGATTCGCAGTTAATATTAAGTCACTTGTTATGACTTGACATAGCCCTGTTCATGTTCACATTTTTACATATATATACACACTGTACTTGTCACAAATAGTAATGACCACACTTACGTTGGCTGTAAAATACCAAAAAAAAGTAGAAATTGTACCTAAAATGTCTCCTTGTTCCTGAATTGTGAAATAAGTGATAAGTGAACATTATACAGATCTCATGTAGTTGAATCATTGTGATCAAATCGTGGTTAAATCTTTATATCACTCTTTAAAACAAAATTGTCTTTTTCTGTGTGTGTGTGTGTGTTTTACAATTCAGGTAGATATAACTTCATTGTCAGTGTAGACCAGACCAAAGAATTTTTCTTTTGCGTAGTGCATAACATATATATATATTATATACTTCTAGTGATATATTAATTTATCATGCAAGTGTAATTTTCTGCTTTTTTGAAGCATTTGCAGCTATATGAGAATAATTATGCTTTCGTGTGTGTAATTGTGCTTAGGAATGCAATGTAGTTATCTCTGATGTTTCTGTCAACCATATTATTGATCAATTTCTCCAACTCATCGAGGTTTGCATGCAGATAATATGCATTTCCAGAATGATAATTTGATTATAATATTAATGAAATGTAACTATTTGTTACGATTAAACATGTTTTATCTATAGTTCTCATGTATTGTCATATAATCTTGTCTGTGGTTTTATATTGTAGTTTGCTTTGCTCATTTTATAGTGGAAGGGTAAACATTCTGTGCAGTAATTGTTGTGAGAATCAAAAGTGCCCAGATTTTTAGTAAATATAGTATTTCCAATGACTTAGGCATGTACATGTATTCAGTATTTGATATTCGTTATGTTGACAATTTAAAATCTGACACTAAAACACAAATGACTGCCCCAGGGTGAGGAGAGTCAGGAACATTAGAGCATGGAGTAGGTTCAAGAGTAAAGAGACAAGAGAAACACAAGAGAGAGAGGGGAAGAGGGAGGCGAGAGAGAGAGAGAGGGGAGAGAGAGAGAGAGAGAGAGAGGGGGAGAATAAGAGAGGAGATAGGATAGAGGAGTGGAGAGGAAGAGGAAAAGAAAAGAAGAAGGTGGAAGGATAGAAAGAAAAGAAGAAGATGGAAGGATAGAAAGAGAAGAAGAAAAGGGTGGAGAAGGAAGAGAAGGAAATGAAGATTGCATGAGGAGGAGGAGAAGGGGATATCAAGAAGAAAAAGAACAGACAAGAGGAGAGAGAGAGAGAGTGAGAAGAAAAAGAAACAGAAGAAAATACATAAAAAAGAGATCGAGATCATTATCACACAATCATATGTATAATGCATAACACCACTATACCACCATGGTCATAATCACTGTTATGATTCAGCATAACATCACATTTACAATCAGATCATTCTCCACTGTGTGTGCAGGTAGAATAACAAAAATTTCACCAAAACGTGATCATACAAACCCATGAAATATACCACAGAAATAAACATGCAAGCAGTAGAAGTGACTTGCATCAATGAAATTTATTAAATCTGTGTAAATATATTCATTACATAATACATATTATATCAATGCTCTAGTGCAATGGAGTTGTTTCAAATTTAAAGAGAAGGTTGAGTTCTTGGAAGAGGTGAAAAATAATTTGTGAGCATTACTCATTTTTATTATGCAAGTGCGGAAGAACATCAGTTAAGACATGTTCCCTGAAAAGCATGGCTCTTCAAATGCCTTCATATTCTAAATATGCATGTAACATCGTAAAAATCGGGGGGGGGGGGGGGGGGGGGGCCGGCTTTTTACGCCATGTGTTCGTGTAGTCCCATATACATCTTTCTGTGCAAGTGTTTGTAACTTTACCAAGACTTGGCCAAATTTCTTATCATTTTGATGATTCCAGAACCTTGCAATACACACAAATTCTTATATGCTAGATGATCAACCTTTTCTGGTCGGTTCCACACCGTTTCTTTCACAATGCAATCGCATGACTAGAACTCAACTTCATCTTTAAGAGTTGAATATCATATTGTGCTATAAAGAAACATGATACTTAATACAAATTCCCTCTAACACATTACCAGATCCCTCGGAAAGGACCTGAAGCCGTCGGCGTCTGGTTGCTTACTAACAAGCATTTATGCTTTCTTAGCAGTCAGGTAAAATAACCACCACCACCACCACCACCACCACCACCACCACCACCACAATTGTTCACTCTCATTATGAAAGCAAAACCTACTTCGTGCATAAACATTACATCTGGATTAAGAATCCCAATCAAAAATTATTTTCATCATTATACCAACTTGGTCGAGACACTCTTACATGTACGTAATCAACTAACGGCAATCATACATTGATACCAAGTATCTTTTAGTGCAAATTCTGTGTAACATAATTTTTTTCTCTAATCACACAATTAAATTGTACTACATGTACAAGTATACATTTTTATCAGAATTACGAATCCCATTAAAATTATTTTCATCATTATTGACTTGGTCAAGATTACATAATGGCAATCACAAACTTTGATACGAAGTATCTTTTAGTGCGAATTCTCTATAACGTAATTTTTGCTTGTGCGGGTACATTATATGTCATGTATACATTGTTTGTATGAATTAAGAAACTTATTTTCATGATATAGACTTCATCAAGACACTCACACATCAACATAGTGGTAATCATATAACTTTGATACTTTGTATCTTTTCTAAAGATTTCCTACAACATAATTTTCTGCTCTATTTGTCCAAGTACATTGTACTACATTTATAATGTGCATTTTTTTTTTGTCTGGCATTAGAGTCTTTTGAAAAAGTGGCAAATGAAAAACAAAGGAGAAAGATATTGCATTTCAGAAAAATACATTGATTAAGAATTTCATTTCTATTACAATTACTTAAAAAAAATTAATTGTGATATTAACCACAGACAAAATGCAAATCTTAAATTCCTTGCAAACTTACAAATCTCATGATTGCAGAACACATTACTCTAGTACTGAATATACTATATATTATGCTATTACACTTTATACTATTACAATTTAATTAATAATGTTAATTCATATTTTAATTTGATCTCTAATCATTCCATTTGTTTTCCTTTCTAAGAATGCATTCAAATGATTCAGTTAATGCTACATGTAGTAAAAGACATAAATGTCCCATCAGCATTTAAGTTGTGAAGAGCGAAGCTCCGAAAAGTATACATAAAATTGGACATAAAAAAGTCGAATGTACAGTTCTTTAAAAAAATAAAAATAAACAAGTGCAATGACCTGTGGTCTTGGTTAATACAAAAATTCATATTGCATAAATATATTCAGCTGAAGGGCTAAAAGCCCATAATTAAATCAAAATAAATGTTTAAGTTAGCTGCATGCAGGCAAGAAAATTCTAATTCCAGGTATACAGGAATACATTAAAGTACTGTTACAAAACACATCCATGTATCTAATTTTAAAAAACAGGCAAGAAATCTAATAAATAATACATGGGCTTAAAATTGGAAATAAAAAAAGTCGAATATTGGAGCACTTTGAGCACCTTGTAGGGTGGATATGTGTGCTAAATACATATCCAATATTATTATTATTATTATTATTAATATGCAGTTCTTTAAAAAAATAAAAAATAAACAAGTGCAATGACCTGTGGTCTTGGTAAATACAAAAATTCATACTGCATAAATATTCAGCTGAAGGGCTAAAAGCCCATAATTAAATCAAAATAAATGTTTAAGTTAGCTGCATGCAGGCAAGAAAATTCTTATTCCAGTTATACAGGAATACATTAAAGTACTGTTACAAAACAAATACATGTATCTAATTTTAAGAAAGCAGGCAAGAAATCTTATAAATAATACATGGGCTTAAAATTGGACATAAGAAAGTCAAATATTCAGTTCTTTAAAAAAATAAAAAATAAATAAACAAGAGCAATGACCTGTGGTCTTGGTAAATACAAAAATTCATACTGCATATATATTCAGCTGAAGGGCTAAAAGCCCATAATTAAATCGAAATAAATGTTCAAGTTAGCTGCATGCAGGCAAGAAAATTGTAATTCCAGGTATACAGGAATACATTAAAGTACTGTAACAATACAAATCCATGTATAAGCAAAACAGGCAAACAGGGCCAATATAGAAATAAAACACACTTTAAACAATCTTCTACATGTATTTCAGTTAATAAAAGTCATAAGTGTATGCTTGGGCAAGATAAATGATGCTTGTCATCCTTTAAAAGAATTGTTTTGTTCTTCATTCATATAGATATTAAGAAGAGAAATAAATGTATATATATATATGGTTCCCATATATTTTCATTTTTCCCCATATGGCAAGACATTTTGTTGATTTGGAGTGGAAGTAAATGTCTGCCAAAAGAGCAAAATTGTTCTTAAAATATCAGCATGCTCTTTAATTTTTCTGATGAGGAGCAGTGGCTTAGTGGATAAAGTGTTTGGTATCTGAACCAACTGGACAGGGGTTCAAAACCACACAAGTCTTTTTTGGTAGTACCCTTTGGTAAGGCATACATCCTCAATTACAATGCCATCTGTAGAGGACTTAGATTCATAGGTCTTCCGGTAATTGCTTACATGTACTTCAGGACATATCCTTTCTTTCTCATAAGCCCAGAAAATAGACATCAAATTTTTATCTCTAAATGGGTGCAGAGTTCATAGACGCACTAGGATCTCCAGAACCTTTCAAATATTTACATGATATTACATTCTCAAATCAGATCAATTTAGAAACATAAGAAACATTCACAAGATGACTCCTTCACACATTTTTAAGGAGGGCCATCTATGTGGCAAAAAACTGCTGTGAAGTGCAAAATAAAGTGTTGTGTCAATTGTAATTCAGTAATATATCATTCTAAAATGTGATAGTAAGCAAAAATTACATGGGTGGCGAGAACGGGATTACATTTCTTTTCAATTGTTAAAGGGTTGTTTGTAAATAAAGGGTTATTTGAAAATAAAAGATATTATCCCTTGCTAAAAAGAACAGTTAAAACTCTTGAATGTAACATACTTTGGTGGTTGATCAGAGTCACCTGACTTTTCTCATGGTGATGACAGTCACATGATGTATCAATCACATGATCTATCAATCACATGACTTTGCACAGGCTTTTATCCCAGTTGTATGTCTCTTGTTCATCTGGATCAGAGGAGTTGAAAAGAAAGGAGCAGCAAAAATAGTTTAATCGAGGTACATGTATAAAACATATTAATATTCCTATATATTAAAAAGGACAAAGTTTATATATATGTAGTATAGTGCATTCCAAAGTCCTTTAGAGAAGTAGAGACATGAATCAACAATTGTACCACATGTAAACATTTATTTCTGCAATAATTGACCCGTAGTCAATTACCTACACTACCCAAATTTCCATCTGCACCCCTGGACCAACCCACCCCATACCCTAACACTAAACCAGCATTGTAACAAAACAAAACAAACTGCAACCCTAGCCCCATAGATAAAGCCCAGAGAAAATGTTGAATCACCAGATCATTTATGGAAATAAAAAAGGTCGATACTATGTACTCAAGATAAAGAAGATTTTCCAGGTGGCAAGAATAACATTCCAAATGTCTACACTATCATCTCTCCTCATAAACACAGGGGTGAAAGTGAGCACTAAAAAATAAAAAAATCAGGAAAAAAAATAATTAATTCAGGAAAAAATTTTAAAAATTGGGAAACCCATTTGAATTGGGTAATTATCAGGCCTGTAAACATTATCTTCAGGTAAATTTCCATTAAAAACATATCCCAAGATGTTCAAAATAAATGTTGTAATCCGCAGTATTGATTACATACCAAGAGGCCGGTGTTAGCACTCTTGCTTCCTATCAAATAAAATTGGGACATATCAATGGCGACATCAGACAAAACCTACCTCCATCTGTATCGTCCTCTTCTCCTTTCTTCCTCTTATCCTTCTTCTTCCTCTTCCTCTTGGCCTGTCTCTCCCTCTCCTCCTCTTCAGAATCTTGGTCATAGACGGATCCCTCGTCCGTCCTGTCCTCTGATTGGCCGAACCTGATGGGGATGGGTGGAGCCCCAGAGTAGCCCGTTTCGCCGGAGGACACCGATACGGTCTCAATTTGAATATCGCCCTCTCCCAAATCGAGGTCACCTCCTAAAATTGAATAGCAAAGATATATATTGAAGGACAAGACTACTTGTACTGTACATGCACACTGTATGGTGTTACACACAAATGTATATGGTCCATATTCATATTAGCAGACTGGGTAACGTTAAACCATTGATTTATAGAGTGCCAAGTTTCAACCTCATCATTCTCTTCCTTAATGCGAAACCGAATTGTCCCACAGAACCAATCTGATTCATTGGAGCCAGCCACCCGTCCCCCTCGCCTTCTTCTCTCTCCCTCCAACTCCGTCTATCCCTCAACTTCTCCTAATTTACCTTGATTTGCATTTACATGTATCTGCTTCATCTCCACCAACCAACACCTTATTCCCGTATAAACCCCCTCCCTCGCCCTTGCCCCCTCCTTCCTCCTCTCAACACTTCCACTGCTCTCTGTACCCTTGCCATCCCATTCTTTCAACTAAACTGGACCTGTATCTAATTTCTTGTGGGTCCAACCTGTTACCTACTTTATGTTCACCAGCCAATACCACATCCCTCTCTCCTCCTACCCCATCCCCCCTTCCCCTCCTCCTTCCCCTCCAACACTTTCTAGGCTTCTACCCCCCCCCCCTTAGATGTATGCCCTCCTCCTGCTCACTCTCCGATCTCGCCTTGATTTGTATCTATGACGAGTCTATCCTGTGGGTCCAAGCCGTTATCTGCTTCATCTCCACCAGCCAGCATCACATATCTCTCTACCCTAGCTCCCATCTTCTTCTTCCCCTTCACCTTCTCTTGTCAACACCTTGTCCCCCTCCCTCTCTATGTGCCCTTCCCTTCTCTCTCCCTTCTCCCAACTCCTCTCTATTTGATGTGTCTATGATGAGTCCGTCTTTGAGGGTCCATTTTATCATCTCCTTCATTTCAACCAGCCATCCTCCCCATCCCCCTCCCCATCTCTTACAACTTCTCCCTCTCCCTTCTCCCATCTCACCTTCATTTGTATCTATGATGAGTCCATCCCGAGGGTCCATTATATCATCTTCTGCATTTCAACCAGTCATTCTCCTCACCCCCTCCCCCTCCCGCATTCTTACATCTTATTCCATTCCCTCTCCCTTCTTCAATCTCACCTTCATTTGTATCTATGATGAGTCCTTCCTGAGGGTCCATTATATGATCTCCTTCATTTCAACCAGTCATCCTCTCCACCCCCCTCCCCCTCCCCCATCTCTTACACCTTCTTCCCCTCCCTCTCCCTTCTCACCCTCATTTGTATCTATGATGATTCCATCCAGAGGGTCCATTATATGATCTCCTTCATTTCAACCAGTCATTCTCCTCATCCCCTCCCCCTCCCGCATTCTTACATCTTATTCCATTCCCTCTCCCTTCTTCAATCTCACCCTCATTTGTATCTATGATGATTCCATCCAGAGGGTCCATTATATGATCTCCTTCATTTCAACCAGTCATTCTCCTCACCCCCTCCCCCTCCCACATCTCTTATACCTTCTTCCCCTCCCTCTCCCTTCTTCAATCTCACCTTCATTTGTATCTATGATGAGTCCTTCCTGAGGGTCCATTATATGATCTCCTTCATTTCAACCAGCCATCCTCCCCCTCCCCTCCCTCATCTCTTACACCTTCTTCCCCTTCCCCTCCCTCTCCCTTCTCACCCTCATTTGTATCTACATTATGATGAGTCCATCCCGGGGTCCATTATATGATCTGCTTCATTTCAACCAGCCATCCTCCCCCTTCCCTCCCTCTCCTTTATCCCATTTCACCCTCATTTGTATCTATGATGATTCCATCCCGAGGGTCCATTATATGATCTCCTTCATTTCAACCAGTCATCCTCTCCACCCCCTTCCCCCTCCCCCATCTCTTACACCTTCTTCCCCTTCCCCTCCCTCTCCCTTCTCACCCTCATTTGTATCTATGATGATTCCATCCCGAGGGTCCATTATATGATCTGCTTCATCGCCACCAATCATCCTCCCCCTCCCCCTCCCCCTTCCCTTCCCCATCTCTTACACCTCTTTCCCTCCCTCCCCCTCCCTCCCCCTTCTCCCATCTCACCTTCATTTGTATCTATGATGAGTCCATCCCGGGGGTCCATTATATGATCTGCTTCATCACCACCAGCAACCAGCACTGCACCCCTCTCTCCTCCCCTCTCCCCTCCCCTCCCTCCTCTGCTCATCTCATGGGTGTGGTCTGAAGAGGTAGTAGAAGCACTCTCAGAAGAAGACCTCACTCTCTTTGCAGGATGAACTACAAGAAAAACAATTATTGTTTCAAATTTGATATTCAAGCACAAGCCCTCTTTTTTATCACTACATGTATACAGTCAAACCTGCTTTAGCGACTACCTGTATAGAAAGACCACCTGTCTACAAAGACCACATTTTTTGTTTTCCTCGAAAATGTTTTCACATAGAAACATGTACTAAAAGAACCTGTACATAAAGACTACCTGCCTATAAAGACCACTTTTCTTGTCTCCATTGGGTGGTCTTTATAGACAGGTTTGACTTTGTATATATACAGTGTATATATACTGTTGTAATGATGATCATGCTTCAATGTAAAGTATATATTTGCAATTCATTGGTGTAATTTACATTATTCTATTCATATTCTACAATACACACATGTCATACAGAAGGATAGCCCATTCACTCAAGAGATATTGCCTTCTTTGGAGCAGTATAATACGTAATGACTTATGGAAGCATCAAGAGCGTTTATCAACCTATTACAAGCCTATTAAAGATGACATTTTATAAAAGCAAAAAGGAGTTGTAGAGCATGTGCAAACACTTCCCAAAGTCCAGGGTGTTTTTTAAAGGCCCAGTATACCATCCCAGGTGTGAAAAGGTCAAAAGATTTCTTGAACTCTTTATGCACTCTTTACTCACCAACAGCTTTCCAGGCCATTTTATTTACATTTGATTTAAATCTATGTTCCTGCATTAAATCTGCATGTGACCTACATGTAGCTCTTTCATTCTTGCTATTCATGGAAGTCTCACAGGAAGTGCCTTGTGCTATGAGGATTGAAACGGATTAGGGATATTCATTCATTATGCCTACTGTATTTACAGTATTGTGCTGATCGGTGAATGCAGCAAGTCGCTAAGCATGCTAGATAGTGAACGAAGCACTTAAAGATAAAGTTGAGTTCTGGTCATGCAATTGCTTCATGAAAGAAACGTTGTGGAATGGATCAGAAAAGGTTGAACATCTTAGCATTTAAATATTGGTGTGTACTGCAAGGTTCTGGAATCATCATAATGATAAGAAATTTGGCCCAGTCTTGGTAAAGATTGGAAAGAAAGAATGATGTACATGTATATGGGACAGCACAAACATGTGGCATAAAAATCCGTCCCAATTTTTATGATGTTACATGCCATATTTAATATATTTAGGCATTTGAAGAGCCATGCTTTTTCAGGGAACACTTTTTATCTCATGTTCTTCCACACTTGCATAATACAATGATAACGTTAACAAATTATTTGTCACCTCTTTCCAGAACTCAACCTTCTCTTGAAAGAGTTAATTTACAAACCTATGGATCCAGATGAAGATGTAGAGATGGAATCATCGTCTCCCCTGTTAATCCAACCGCTAATCTCCCCTCGATTTCGCTCCTTTTCTGCTTCCTAAAATAGTAAAGATGACAATGTTTAGATACTTGCATAAAGACACCACATAAGGAAAAGTAATCAGCTACTTGTACATTACATGTATGCATATGGGTTGTTCACCTTAAATCTCTTGCAGAATCTGAGGATCACCTGCTTGATGTCCTGAATGACAAGAAGTTGTAAGACTTTCAAAGTGCTCTAATAAAGTATATTTTCTATGATTCACACCAAGAGCAAAGCAAAAAAGAATCAGACAAGTCAACACAAATCGTAGCATCCCCTCGCAGGGTACAAAAGGCCTATATACATGTACGTCAGAACAAGTTACCTCCATTGGACTATTGTATTACTAGGCAAGGAAGTTAACCACATTTTCACATATATAAATAGGTGTTTTTGAAAATTTAATGAGCTATGACCTTTCACCTTTGTTCTACTTAATCAGAAATCGAACTTAGAACTTAGTATTTTGACACAGGGTACCTTCATATTAAATTTCATTAAAATTCGTCAAACATTACTCAAGTTGTTGAATGAAAACCAGATTTGCATATTTAATGAATGACCTTTGACCTACATACTCCGAAATCAAACTTACGCTGTGTCTTGATACCATGAACCATCATATAAAATTTCATTAAAATCTGTCAAACATTACTAAAGTTATCAATCGGAAACCAGATGTGTATTTTTTCGCATATTGACCTTTGACCTACTTACTCCAAAATCGAACTTAGCCTATATTTTGATACCATGAACCTTCATGTCAAATTTCATTAAAATCCGTCAAACACTACTAAAGTTATCGATCGGAAACCAGATGTGTATTTTTTTGCACATTTAATGAGCTATGACCTTTGACCTTTGACCTACTTACTCCAAAATCGAACTTAGCCTGTATTTTGATATCATGTACCTTCATATCAAATTCCATCGTTACGGACGCACGCACGGAAGGGAGGAAGGACGGACGGCAGCGTTACTATAGCCCCTCCGACTTCGTCGGCGAGGGGATAATAAAGAGAGAAATGTATGCTGTTTATACGTGTAACATTAGCTTGATTGTCCCAAAATAGCAATGGTTGGCAGCTTTGCACATGTCGGGTTGTTCACCTTGAATCTCTTGCGGTATCTCAGGTCGGCCTGCTTGTTGCCCTGGATGACCAGAAGGCGATGGAAGCGCTGCTTCAGATGTTCCCAGTCCGGGCTGTGAGGCATCCCTCTACTCCAGAGGGTCTCCTCCATCTCCAGGGACCTGTCAAAGTAGCGTCGAGCATCCCGGTACTTCTTGGAGGCGAGGTGGATGGCACCGACAAAGTATAGACTGCGGGCGGTGTTGGGGTGCACGCCTTGGAGAGCCTGGCGGCCTTCAAGGGCTCGTAAGGCCAGTGGGAGAGCATTGTCGTACCTGAGAATGACACAGAGGAAACAATTTTGCCACGTACGATAATGATAACAAGTTTCAAATTTACTCAATATGAACAACAACACTGTTTTACCCAGGGTAGTCTCGGCTGTGTTATATGTGTAATACTGCTCTTCCTGATGGCCCTGGAATTTTTAATGCCCCAGCGTTGCTAGGCTTTCATTGAATACACCTCACTCACGAGGGACAACTGCGGTAAGAGCAACTTGTCTAAAGATATAAACACCAAGGACCAAACTCAGGACCTCTCGTATATAATAGTCAAAGAACTTCACCTAAACGCCAGTGTGCCCATACTCTTCATTCTATCAAACTCCATTTACGAGAAGGACAGGACATATGCTTTACATCTTTGTCATATTATATTTATGGTCTAAGAAGAGTTGATATATTCTCTCTGAAGGTCAAAAATCCTTGAACCCAATAGGGCTAAGAAATGCAGTAAAATAACTTGAGTAGCAATGTAAAGGTAATTTATAAATGATCATTATACAGAAATGATTGTGCAGTCTTTGGGACATTTGATGTAATGGCATGTTACAGGCGTGTATTAAAACATGAAGACCATGACGAATACAGATCTACATTAAATTTGTCTTGCATGTTTCCATGATTTTATATTATTTTTTAAAGAAACTTTGGAAGTTTTATAGAAAAGAAAAGAAAATCAAAATACAGCTTGTCATCTTACTTTTCTTGAGCAAAGTAACTCATTGCCATATTCTTGAGAGTGATGCAAGTGCCTGGTGTTCCATCCATCCCAAGAAGACGTTCTAACTCCAGAGATTTCTTAAAGAATTCCAGCGCCTGGCCATACCTTGACAACTCATGCAAGCATGATCCAATATTCAGCTGGATGGTCGGAATATCGACGTGTCTCTCTGAACCTGTGATGCGTGTGCACATGTCTAGAGCTCTGCGGTAGTAGTCGATGGCTTTCACCATGTCTTCATGGATGTACCCCATGCCTTCCACCTTGGCAGCAGACTGCATGGCTTGGCCTAGGAGGTTCAGGGTTCGTACCGTTAAGAAGTGATCCCCATGAATCTCTTTGCGTATTCGCAGGCAATCTTTCAGCTGCTTGAGGGCATCTATTCCTTTGAGACGCCGTGTCATCACATTGCCTCTGAAGTGGTACAGGGTAGCATAACTGAGCTGGACAGAGTTGGATGTCTGGTCGGGAAGTTCCTTCAGGATGCTCTCTGCTTGGTCAAAGAGAGGCATGATGGCTTCTACATCAAACCCAAGATCCACAAGGTGCTGGGATTCGTGACAGCAGAACTCTGCATACAGCTGCTTCTTGCCTTCTTTCTCTGCCCTGCCCTTGCAGATACTATAAAAGGAACGCCTCTCTTTTGGAACCATCATCAGCTCCACAGCCATGTGAAGCCAGTCATTCTCCTTATCTGATGGGAACTTCTTGAACTTGAAGTACTCAAGCACATGCATGAAGTTAGCCTTCTCATCTTGCTTTGCTGATAACGCCTTCACGAAATCCTTCTGGAAAACAGCTGCAGTGCGTTGTATTTTCTTACCAAAGTGCTTCATGAACCTCTCCTCACCCTTCTCATACTCTGCCACCAACGGGTTATCAGTTTTGGTGCATAGCTGCTGCAGGAAGGATCTAAGGAGCAGGTGAATACTGTACCTTGCAGATCCCGTCTTGCTCTTCCCTTCTACCTCTCCAACGTCACTCTCTAGGAGACTCCTGTACTTCAAGGCCTGCAGATCCAGCTTGAGACCGACGCGATCCTTGCGCTGATACTCCAGAATATCCTGTGCCGCCTTCATGTCGAATGTCCCAGGTATCACGGACAACCTCACAAGATTGCGCTGGTAGGCCTCTGGGAGCTTCTCGATGGTGCTTAGCAAGCTAAAGGCCAACTGATCGTCTTTGGCAAGACCAAGGTGTGTAAGGCTACCAACCAGCCTATTGGCTTGGACATCGTCATGCCGCGACAAGTGCTTGATCATATCCCTGGGTGTGATAGTGCCATCCTGGAAGCGACTGGAAACCACCTTCAAGGCCAGTGGAATCTTTCCGCATAGATCAGCCAAGGTACGGGCATCTTCATCTTCAACTTCTGTCTTCCCAGCATGGTACTTGATGATCTCAATGGCAGCTTCGACGTCCAGATCATTCTCCCCGTCAAGACGGAAGCAGTGGAGGTGCTGACTGCTGATCCTTGTGTGCTCCATACCGATCCTGGAGGTGATGACCACTTTGACTTTAGGATTGGCCAGGTTGAGCATGTTGTCCACCATGTTCTCAAACTGACTGTATGCCTCATTGGGCTTCTCTGGGGTCCCAGGATCCAGAGGCTTGTCAGCATTGTCTAGGATGATGACGGCCCCAGCTGTTTAAAAAAAAATATATATATACATATATATATATTCTTCTCAATTACAAAACAAAAAACAGTTCCATAGATTCCTCAAAATTTCATATAGAGAAAAGTCTGTCTTTTCCCTTATATTTTCTTGACCATATCTCCAAATGTCAGGATTATCATTTCAACAAATTTCCAGTTTAAAATGGCTTCATCTAGTGGACATGCTGTTTTGACATGAGATACAAAATTCCCTGATTTTCCCCAGAATTTTTTTCTCAAAGTCTCTGAATTTTCCATGCCAGTCTTTTGCTGATTACCCCTGTATTAAAGTCTTTCGGCAAGACAATAATCTATATTTGCCAGTCTCCACCCAGGTGTAAAAGGGTACTTGACATGCTTGGGCACCGGTTTCTTTGGTGACTCCGCTATTACCTACGTTATAGTGTCCAAATACCATGAGCATCATAGCGTCACAGATACGACAGCTATACAGAAGCCATTTTAGTCATTTTCAGGGATGATAGTGAGCACTGTAAAAAAAAGGGGGGGAAAAAATCCTCTTCTCCCCCCCCCCCTCCCCCCCCCCCCCCCCCCCCCCTTGAGTAAAAAAAAAAAAAGGGATTCAGGGAAAAACAAATGGGATCTAACAACATCCCCCCTCTCTTTTGAGTAAGAAAATTGGGGGAAAATTGGGGGAAAATTGGGGGAAAATTGGGAAAATAAGGGAAAATAAGGGTAAAATCTGGAAAAAATCAGGTAAGAAAAAAAAAATCTGGAAAAAATATAAAAATCAGGTAATTATCAGGCCTGCATTTTAAAGTCTGGCACATGGCATGACCAAAGATTGAACTCACCATGCTTCTTGGGATCATAGTGCTCCAGGTAGGCATACAGCATATCAGGTTCGTAGCTGCGACACTCCACACCCAGGGCATGCATTATGGCAAAGAAGATATCTTCTATCATGGGAAGCTCTCTGAGGTCCACAAAGATGACCTGACCATAGCGGATGAGCCTGTAAGTGGCTTCCTTGGCCAGCCGGGTCTTCCCTGAGCCTGGCATTCCACTGATACCGATACAGTGAATGCGGTCGTAAGGCTCGTCTAGTATTCCCACGATCCTAGGCAAAAAATAAACATGGAATATACAGTATGGCATTATAAGATGATGTCGTGGATCCTAATCAAATGATTGGTTGAGAACGTACACGTGACCAGGCATTTATTTTGCCAAACACCGGTCATTAGTATAAATCATCATTTTAGAAAAACAAAAAACATAATCTTATACAACAAATAATATACATCATTTTGTTTGGGCAATAGTAAAATTACCTGCACTCGGTACCTTCAAAACAGTCCAAACACCCTCAGCTATCGCCTCGGGCGTGTTAGACTGTTCCAAAGGTACCTTTTGTGGGTAATTCTTACTAATGCCCTCACTGCTGTGTATTACTTGTATATTAACTCATCACCATCTACAAATCATGTGCATTGTGGACATTTTCTGACAGGAATTTTTAGTACATTGATTATTTCCTGATCCTGCAGTTCCACAGATTCTGGCATTCTGCTATATAAATACAGGTGCAGTGAATGGTCTAGTTTTGGTTATACAATATTCTCCTGCAAAAACTGTTTTGTGCCACTAGCTGAATGCTTAACTTCAACCTTGGACCTAACACAATACCTAACCTTAATATCAAACCAACATAATACCCAATTGCAACCGTAATTAAAAGGTTTGGGTTGGGCTTGGTTGGGCTTGGTTTGTTTTACCGGACTGCTAAGAAATCTTGCGTCTGATTTTACCCTGTAAGTGAGCAACCAGGAGACCAATGGCTACGAGTCCTCTCCAAGGATCTTGGGAATGAGGATCAATGCCTCACCATGGGGCATTAGTGCATTTACTTGGTTTCTAACCTGTGACCTTCCATTTACTAGACCACTGCTCTGCCCCTGAAGTCTGTACGGCAGACCAGAAGGGAAAAATTATCTCATTATTCCACTTTTAAAGATTTATTTGTCTATCATCAAAATAATTCCACTTTTAAAAAAAATCTCTCCTCTTTCAGCAAAATATCATTTGTCTTTTACGAGGCAATCGTCTATTTGTAGACTGTTCATCTTCTTACAAACCATTTGTCTTTTCACAAATCATTCTTTTTGCAGATCATTCATCCTTTTACAGTTCATTTGTTTAGGAATGATCAAAGAAGGAAAGGCAGAAATACTTTGGCCACATTAAAAGGCATCAGAGTCACTTGACAGAGTTTATTAGAAGGAAAAGTAAAACGTATTGTACCTAGAGGGAAACCAAGAACAAACTAGGAGAGGAACGTTAATGAATACTGGGAGTGGAATGACATTGCAAGAGTATACTAGGGTGGCAGAAAACGGACATGAGTGGATAAATGTTGCAATAAACCTCCGAGCTGGAAGAAGATACCGGTTCCCTGATAGATTGCGTGGATGTGTGTGTGTTGTATGTGTTTGTGTAATTTAGTTTTTACAGAAGTGCATCAATCAGAAATGATTATTTGTGTCTGGGAACGACCTTCAATAGCGCCATCCAAAAGAAATGACTCAGTTTTTAACCAGGGGCTGATCAGAGTCAGTTTGTAAGCAAAGACAAAGCGCTGACTGTACCACAGGCATTACCACTCCTAGACCAACTGACATCTCCCCTGTGAAAAGCCAACGTATGTCATACTATATTATATGCTATAACTTTCTCTACAGTGTTTATGCTTCTGTAATAACTTTACCTGTTTCATATTTTCAAGCAATATGTGGCATACTGTCATTCTAAATATACTGTTTATTCTAGACAGTACCACTTCTAGACCAACTGACATCTCCCCTGTGAAAAGCCAACGTATGTCATACTATATTATATGCTATACCTTTCTCTACAGTGTCTATGCTTCTGGAATAACTTTACCTGATTCATATTATCAAGCAATATGTGGTATACTATTATTCTCAATATTCTGTTTATTCTAGACAGTATCACCAACAGCTGGGGATAGGGAAGTGAATTCACTTTCTCTTCTTTATTCCCTTAAATTGCAAATACCAAAAAGATGATTACCGGTATGCCCTATGGATATACAACTATTAAGCTGCATCTACTAGCTTTAATATAGGCCAAGTGATTGCTTTATTAGTTTTAGTTCAAACATCAGAAAAATGTGACAATTCCAAAACTCCATCTCCATACTCTAACACATGTAGGTCATATCTACACGACAATGTCGGTGAATGCTTCTCGGTCAACCTTTTCAATGGGGAATCCCCTTTCCTCCACGTTCAGTTAGTCTCCTACCAAAGACCTGTGACCTGTATGTGAAATTTGAAGATATATTTAGGGGGCCAAGGACACTGTCCTGGGGGCTACATTGGGCATTTGGAGAAACTTCTTGGGATGTCTATTCGCAGAGGGCCTGTGCCACATAGTATTTAGCTTATGGTCAAGATACCATGGAATGGTTTTAATTGATGATCATATTTCATTTATGCTCTCTACCTGGCGGCCTATGGCAGACTCTCTGAATAAACCTCTTGGCTGAACCAAACATGTATGCTGTCCTCTATTGACAAGCCAGTGTACATGGTACCCACCAATAGCATATCCTACAATGGATTATGTATGTCTTTTGTTGCATTGCTGGCATAAACTGGATTACACCGGATTGTTTAGAATTTTAAAAATAGTATTCTAGAAGCGTCTATGTCGCCTGAGTAACATGAGAGGGGGGGGGGGGTAGCTTCTTCATGGGTCCTCACTGGACCTTATTCCTCCGCCATCTATGAATATGCATGATCACACTTCCTGTGCATGGTTCAGTAACAGGTGGCGCTTGTTCATTGGTCCTTACTGACTTCATCCCTCAGCCATCATGAAATAAGCATGACAATACAACCTGAGCATGGTACTCAATGGTTCCAAAAGGCAGACGTGATCATCCATTCATCTGAATGAAGTAGTTCCGTCCTAAACGCTTGGGTTTTTCCCAGACTTAAAGACCAAATCGTGTATGTGCATTTTCTACAAAGATCATGTAGCCTTTGGAGAGTTATAAAAAGGAACAGTGAATTAAATAGGATTGGGGTCTTCATCTAGTAGGATTTAATAAGCCCTTGAATGGGGATAAATCAATTTTTATTATCTGCCTACTACTGTACTTGCTGTTATTTTCACATGATCAATTTTTAGCGCTTAGTGACCCCAAAACATATTCGCTGGTTCTTCAATTTGCGCAATTTACGCGATTCAGCCTGCCCATAACACGCGTCAGAAGTCATGCTTAGCGCAAAATCCGCTAAAATGAATGTACCACCAATATTTCTACTTTTACAGTATTGCCTACTATGCCTATACTATTCAAAATCACTGTCTAATGTACTCCTGGGTTTAGAGAGACATTTAGGGCTAAACTGCCCAATTCAAAATGATAATGCATGTAAGTTTGACCATGATAGCTGTTCAAATAAAAACCGAAAGAAGCAGATTAACTGTGTTAAGTACCCGCATAATTACAGAGAACCATTAAAAGGGAAATTCATCATCATTTCGTATACAAACAATAGAGGTTTGAACCGCAAGTTTAAATTACTTTGAACAGCAGGTGAACTTCCTTTTATCAACATAGTCATTGATGAGTCTACACGTGGGTGTACATGTACCTGTAATGGATTTTTAAACTCTTTATTCACCATTGATCGAAACCTGGGGACTGCCACCATGTTGGGACTAGATAGATAGAGCTCATTACGCTGTGCATGTGACCAAAGTCAACTGTGGCAGTCCGGCATTTGTTCCATTAGTTGACCAAAGTGAGGAAAGAGTTAATTTGCCCCAAAAGCAAGGATATGTTTTAACAGAATAGAAGAGTGGACCCATGTATTTGTTCTCTATCCTCGAGACATGGTAATTGAGGATTAATACCCTACAAATAGGCCAAAACAACACTGACTTGGGTTTGAACCCGAGACCTTTCAGTTCGAGGACCTCTGCTCTATCTGTCAAGCCACCGCTTATTTTTTTAACTCTTTCATAATAAGCACAAGCACCTGCAAAGGCAGTTCCTGAGGACTATATAACCCAAATTAAGGATTTTACTGATCTAATGATCATTACTCTATTGTTAATAGTCAACCAATTCTCTGCTTTCAATTATGGGCTTGAAAGTCTAAGCAGTTATAAGCTAGATTTTGCCATCTCCACTAGACATTTATTCACATCTTTAAATGAATCTCAACTACGGTTTCCCATGTCATGTGTGACTAGCCCTAATAATGTCTTTCTCAACCCCGGTGAACCCGTAGGAAGAAACTCCTCTTAGGCACGGTAGCTTTGGCAGCTCACTATAATGACAGCACCTCCATACTATTTGCATCCCTCACAAGAAAGTGCAGTAAATACCCCGACCTGTCATCTCCTTCATTTTCAATAATCTGACAAACTCTTGTTTTTCTTACGAGTCCTAAATCCTTACAAGTTGGTAGCCTCATATCTGCATTTAATTTGTCTGCTTTCCTTGCACACACAGTCACCCTGCTAGACTGGCTATACAACAACATCTATCTCTAAGAATTACCTTTACATAGCTTCGTAGTACACTCTGTGTAAAGGCAAGTAGCGCAAGGTGCTATAATCTATTCTTATTTAAGTCATGAGCTATAGCATACATTTTTTAATCTGTCCATTGATTCTTCAAGGATGGTATTCTACCTTTAAAGAGTCATACAGCAAAGGAGGGGAATTTTGTGAGGTAAGCTACATGTATGTTGCAATAGTGGATAACAAGGGGATTTTGGAATACAATCGATGATGCGGCCTCGCCTCCCAATGATTCGCTTTGTTGAGTGGGAATACCAGGAGGTAAAAATAGAACTTACCGCACAAACGGTGTCCAACTTCAATTTATATCTTTTTTCAAATATTTAAAATTGATGCCACGTTTCTGAATTATGAACAAAAAAATTGTTTAAACCCTACGAATCAAACCTGATATGAGAATGTTTAAACCCAATCAGTTTTTTTTTAAATTTGTTCTAATTAAGATTTTAAGAGACAAATTTGGCTATCACGCTTTCACGATTTCATTGCTTCATCAATTTGACGTCACATGGTATCAAGTATGAAGAAAAAAAAACAATAAGCTTTTCTTTCCCAAAATATCAAAATCTTGGCAGTGTATCTACCTATGACATGGAAATGTGAATGTAAATGTCGCTAATGAAGGATAGATGTACCGTCCAAGTTTGAACCATTTTCTCAACCATTACCTATATCTGACAGACCATGAAATGCATCTGTCAATACAATTAAACCTAATTTGTACTCATGACTAATAGGGCACAAAGGAAGTAATTTAACAGCAGACATGCTCCAATATGGAAGTTATTCATTAGGTGCTAGTTAGGTTAATACAAGGTTACCCCCATGTGACTGTTGAAATATATCTTTGTTGTTTTCTATAATATCCTTACTTGTAGACAGAATTATTTGAACTAAAAGTGAAAGACTGTTCCGTTTCCATTTCGCTCAATCCTGGCTTGGACTTTTAGGTTTTTAAGGCACCCCAAGTCGATTTATTTTGATTGTCAATGCCTTAATTGGGGTTGGTTGGTGGTTAGGGGGCTACAACATACATGTATGCTCTCGCCGCAATTGCTCTGTGATCATTATTCCACACTGACCCAATTTATAATTTCAAACCCGAAACCAACACTATACCTAACCCTAATGCAAGGCTTGCCATTAGCAGGTGCCTTGAATAGTTTGGTTCCTAAAATCTATGCCCTGACCCCAAAATGTCAAAATCTTAACACAGGGTACATGTATTGTGATTCTAGTTCATTTCGAACCCCCGTCCATGAACAAAAATGGAGTGTGGAGCCTTGCATGCCTAATGCCACCCTAATCCTATCCTTATACCCAAATGCAAACGTAACCCGACACCAGGCAAAAGGTTGGAACCCTTGACTAAGACTGAAGGCCAAGAAATGCTGAACACTGAATCCTCTCCTTCTACAATATATGGGGCACTCTACATTTACGTTCATATAGGCCCTGTCATGCCGAAATTGTTTTGATGACCGTGAAATTTCCTAGAGTGATCCTCCTGAAACGATCTTGGGAACAAAGAGTCCCATTCAGTCAACCAGATAAATAAAAAACAAAACAAAAGCGACTGCGTCTCCTATATGCCTTAGCGCTAAATTCATATTGGAAAATAGATGAAATATATCACGATGAAAACAAAAAGCCTACACCGGTAATCAAATGTCAATTGTAGACTATGGTCTTGACCCACTGGCCCAAAAATGTAATTGGATCATCTTCCTACAGTACCTCTGTCAACATATTTAGATATTGCAATAAAGCCTTTAATTTCAGATTTTGACCTCTATGACCTTTGACCTACTTCCCTAATGAGACTGTCTTCGTATGTTGATACATAATATCACCATGTTTGCGTTTCATATCTCTCGTGGTTTTTGAGATACGCAATAGGACTAAAACCCGAAATTTCAGAAATTGACCTCTGTGACCTTTGACCTATGTACCCAAAATTGAATAAGATCATATTCCTATGGTGATACATGCTATCACCATGTTTAAGTTCGATATCTCCAGTGTTTCTTGAGATATTGCGATAACACGGCTAATATATAATATTTCAGAAATTGACCTCTGTGACCTCAGACCTTTAAACCCAAAATGTTATCAGATCGTCTTCCTATGATATTACACATTACCACCTAGTTTGAGCCTCATATCTCTAGTGGTTCTAGAGATTTTGCGATAGTGAGGCTAACAGTAGAAGTTTACCTCTGTGACCTTTGCCCTTTGACCTACTAAACCTCATATTTCTAGTGGTTCTTGAGTTTGACCTTCATATGATTGTCTTCCTATGGTTATATATATATATATATATTATCACTAAGTTTGAAGTTCATAACTGAAGTGGTTTTGAGATATTGGGATAACGGTAGCCTATAATCTAGGCGGAGTGCCGAGCTTTTTTCTTTGCTGCTAGACTAACCCTAAGCAGAACGTCTGATACGGCGAGACTACGAACCGTGAGTCGCGAAGCGGCTCACCGCCTATAATCACTGGTCTAGCTTTAGTCGTTGTTTTTTTATTATCGACCATGAATCCGTGGCAGTTTTTCGTACGAAAAAACCTCATGAATACGAAATGAACTCAACCAATCAGAAACACGTATGGAGAAGAGTCTATGCATATGCATATTATAAATCACGTGACATTACGTCATTTTCTTCATCCAAGATGGCGGGTAGTTCCTGCGACGACGATCTTCTGCGAGAAAGTTTATCATATGCGGCCAACAAACTAGGCATTCCTAATAGAAAATTCAGAGAACTGCAGGAATCCGCTATTCGTAGTGTTATTGAAGCCGGCAGGGATATTTTTGTTGCATTACCTACTGGTTTTGGAAAGAGTGCAATATACCAAGCAATCCCCTTGTGCTGTGATTTTGTGGCATAAAACCCCCAAAAGTATAACTGGGACTAAATAAACACAACATATCTAGCTGAGATATAAAATCAGTGTAGATTTGGTTTAAACCTGACCTGAAAGAATGCCGGTTAGGAGATTGGAAGTGAATTTCCTTTCTTTCTTGCCAAGGAGTGAGCACCACTAACCCACTATCCATGTCTTCATCACATAAACTACAGGGAACCACTAACAAACGTATTGGTTTTTAATTTTGTTTAATCAGATTTTCATTCTCTCTCTTTCTCTATGTGAGCATTTTTGCTATAGGTAACAGGAAAATTAGCTATGAGGATTTACGGAATGGCTTTATATTTTCAAGAGATATTTTCAAGGTTTTTTCAAGGCTTTTTTTTTGCAGCTTACCAAAATTGACCTTGACCCAGTAAACTGTGAAACCAGAAACTTTCACAAATTGTTAAGAATCTGAACCGCTCCTAAGATTCACTAACATTTCATGCACTTGAATAAGTTTGGCTTTGGGCAATGCCGAGCAATATGTCCCACACGACATGCTACTCATCCATATCTTTCATCCTAGAATGAGAAATCTATTGATATGACTATGACTAACGGTGGAGATAACACAAAGCACCATTATTCAGTGGTTAAGAAATCAAGAGATTCTTAATTTCTACTTTTAGACAAATATTTCAGGAGAGAAAAAGACATATGTGGAAGGGGACACAAATAGGTTCGGAAGCGGTCTACCGCTTCACATTTGAAATAGCCGTAACGGTACTCATCCGGCAATCCTCACCTATCCATGATCTCCTTCCGCCCAAAGAAGGGGCCCTCCAGAAGGGAGGGGTTCCGGAAGACCTGGCGTACCACCACCTGCCGCTCCCTCTCGTAGTTCTCCACCTGCTCGATCAGGTCATTGCGGGAGACGTGCTCCAGCAGCGTCTTCAGGTAGTCGGTGTCCCCATCGTGGATCAGGTTCTGGTTCTCCAGCTCATCGAAGAACTTGAGCGGCTCGTCTATCTTCTGGTACGCAGCCCCCAGTCTGTCCTGTAATGTTAGGTCAAGAAGAGGAAATCATTCAAGTAGTGAAATCGTACAAAAAACCTTTAACAAAAAGAAATTGCTGGTTCAAGGTTCTCCTTTTTCTCCCCGTTTTTTGTGCATGGCTTTTCAACCCTTTCCTGACCTCTAATTCTGTTCAAATTTTCTGGGCTTCTTCCTATGCACGTCTAGATACGCATCATTGTCTGACTTTCTTAAAATCACTCAAGCGTGACGTGCTAGTAGCCATTTTCTTTCAAAAGTTTCAAATTTTTGTAACACGTTTTCAACCCTTTCCCAATGTCGAGTTTTCTTGAGACTTGGCATGCATCTACAGAATGTGAATTTCGATTGCATAGCGTAGCCAGATTTATTAAATCACTCATGTGCGACGATCTAGGTGCAATACCCTTTTTGACCTTTTTTGGCTCGTAATTTTTTAATGAAGCCTTGCAATGGTCTGAAACTGAGCTCGTTTTTTTACCTAATGATTATCAGAGTCCTCAACAGTTTCATACGTTATTGATCACGCTTACTACAAACAGCGCCCTCTATCTACTGCATTCACTTTCCATTTAACTTCTGTATTAAACATTTCCTTTATCTGAAACTTACCGGTATGTCAGATCCTATGCTTATCTTTGCCCTTTGTCTAATTATTTTATAATTTTTATGACTGGTCAAGCAGATCTTGAATAGTGTCCTGTATCATCTAGACACCATTTCCTTTGTATAATTTTTGCGTCGGTCTGAAAATTTGCCCATATCTTGAACTTATGTTTATCCAAGTCCTCTATGATTTTTATGTATGAATAGCATGCTGAATCTTATATAGCCCCCTTTATCGGCTAAGTTCCAGCCGATCCACGTCCAAGTCTGAATTTGGCCCTTCTGAGTCCGAGTCCCTGTCCGGCCCTTCCAAGTCAGAGTCAGAGTCCAGCACTTCTTTTTATAACCTTTGTATTCAAAATATATTCTGTGATAACGCTTGTGTATCAAACACAGGTTTACATGTCTATAGTTGGAATGTGTTTTTTACACATCTTTTAATGACTGTCATGTAATATTCTTTGCATTGCTATCCTGATACACAAATGCAAATTGCATCATTTGCTATGGGAAGAGAACAAATTATGAATTGATATTGTTTAGTAATATGCTAAGGGCACTGGCCTGGTAAACTGAAATGAGTACAAGTTGATCAAATTGTCTCAAAATAATGCACAGAGATGATGATAATAGAGTGGTGAAGTGTGACATCATCAAAAAAAGTTTTAATTCCCTAATTTTGACTTCATTTTCCGAAAAAGCATAAAAAATAGTGTCCAAATGTTGAAAACCGATTGAATATGTGGAAGTATTGCCTGAGATATGGCCATCTGAATAAATAGATTTCCTATAGGAACTCAGTGTTATTTTGCTGCAGTTCATAGCACTACAGCATAGGATCATCTTCCTATGTTGATACATACTTCTACCAAGTTGAAGCCTCATATTTCTAATGGTTCTTGAGGGACGGACAGAGATCCCCAAAACATAATACCTCTTTGTTAAGGAATAGTAAAGACCCAGTTAACGATTCTTGTGGAACACCTACATTGTGTAATAGGCGTCTATGCCATATCACAGATCAAAATTGCACTAAGTAAGAAGGAAAGGCGATAAAGTAAAAAAATAAAATATTGAAAGGGAGAACAAACGACAGAAAAGTTGAGAACCCCTTCCCCCCCCCCTACCCCCATAAAAATAAAGGGCAATATCATGAAATTCATCATTTCACCCAGGTGTTGGCTACCTTTACAAGACTCTTAGCCCTGTCTAAGTCAGTTTTCTCAAATTCATTAGCAAGCAATACAATCATCCAGCGGAATCTGCTGATTGAAGTCAGGTCGGCTGCCATCTTGGGTAGGGATGTCTTACATCAAGAGTTTTCAGTTGCGTCTTTGATGACCTCTTCACACCTGGTACTGCAAAAACATGAAAATAAAGTAATTAAGACTATTAAGGCTAATACTTTTTTTTTTAATTATATATTAATCTTTATGTTTTATTTGTAATGGATTGTTAAAATTTAAATTTACACAGGAGTGATTTTCCTAGAGCATGAAAATGCAATCACACAGCTGTTGCTTCAAAGGCTATCTTAAAAGCAAACATTCACATCCTTCTTTGCTTAATTTTTCCCCATGTCAGATTTACTGAAATCATCACAGACCTACACGTACAAGTAATTCTGCCATTTCTTGCTTATATAACAACTTTACATTAGGATCATCTTTCCCTTTAAACCAATAGTGCCATTTATATCTAAGTTTACTCTAGCTTTATCATTTGAATTCACCATTTGAATTCACCATATTGCCCAAACAACTAGGCCAGTTTGAATGAGCAAGTTACAGGAAGTACCTTATCTTTGACAAAATGACAATTTGTGTATTTTAAATGTACAGATGATTTAACAATTCCACAATTATTAAAATTTATGTTAAATTTCTGTTAGCTGTTAGATTAATTTACAATTGCCATAGTACTGAAAATGAATTAGACACTTGCATCCTGTTCTGTAAAATGTAAATGCACTTTGATCTAGAAAATGTTTGTTCATCTCTCTCGGGCTTTAAATCATTTGTACACTATGCAAGTGATAAAAACCATGCACACATCCCTAACATGTGCATGCATGGAATGTAAAGGAAATAATACCTAACCCTTGATGTTTGACCTTGTATTTGCATATGAATGGAATATCACATCAGCATAAAGCGTGTATTGATATTATACTATTGCATGCCTACATAGAGGCTTCTTCCATACAAAGCATATCATGCATGTGTAGGCATTATTGTGTATCAAACGCAAGTGCGAAAATATGTGTTAGTGGTGTTTCCTCTTCCTCTCGCCCTCTCTCTCTCTCTCTCCCTCTCTTGCCTTTTCTTTCTCTGTGTCTCTGTGTGCCGTGTATCTACGTCTCTCTCTCTCTACACACACACTGACACACACACAATTTATTTATGCCTACTCATACAGGGAGGGTTGGTGCAGACTTCACAGAACATTCATGGCAAATAAAAACTACTGCAGAATACATGACGAACAATACCATTTTCACAGAAAGATATTCAGGCCTGGCAAAATCAATAGTGTAGATACATGTACATTACAACTCCAAGACTAGTACAAGTTCAATTGGCAAAATAGATAGAAATACTGTTTGTTTACAAATAAATTGGTGAGGGTAATTTTATAACATCTATTGTTCTACAGTTTAGACGTTACGACTTCATTTAGTTTTACAACTTCAAACAGCTATTTTGTAAAATCTAATAGCCCTAACAAAAATGGACTGTTTTATTTAATCAAAAATAAGATAACAATAACATGACTTCACTCTTCATTACAACTAATGTATTTTGAGATTTTTATTTATTCATTTCCTCTCATAGGGTGGATGGCCCTTTCAGCACAGCTGATTTTCAAAGGGGTCCACAAACATAAAAATAACAATAAATATACAGTATGTAAAACATGGCAAATGCAAGAAGTAAGGCAATGAATATGTACATGTATAGTCAAACAAATAAATATCTAACAGATTAAAGTACAAAACAAACAAGCAATAAGACAGTTGATTGCAGATATTCAACTAGGACGACAACAAGCATACGAGTAAAACTGTAAAACCGATAAAATTTTCTGTTTTGATGCTGAGCCATTGCCTTTGCACTATAGGGTGCAGTCACAACATTGTATCATTACTATGCTTGTGTGTACACATTAGCAAGAGTGTGTACACAAGCGCATCATTGTCCACATATTGTGAAACATGCTGTGTAACTGTGTTTGATAGCATGAAACTGCTATTAAACTGCCGTGTTGTTGACATTGCAGTATGGTGCACAAAGAGATGCACGGAATATGACAATGGAGAGAAGGGGAAAATCATTAGAAGTATGTGTCAATAACAAATCACTCTGGATAGATGTAAAGCCATTTGACTATTGTAATGCGTAATCAGCGATTCAGCATTATATTACCATTCATATTTAACTGTGTTATTTAGCACCCTACAATAATTATCACATTGATTTTAATTCATTTTTCAAGAGATCTCTACATGTTTATTTAAATGAACAGCTTTCTAAACTACATGTACATATAAGCTACAGCCTACATGTAGCTATTTAAGGTTTTTAATTAATCACACCTTGTCTATTTTCTTTAATATTTTAATAGTTAACCTTCTCCAACATCTTTTCAGGGTCATGATCTTAAATAGATCTATAACATTGATTGCAAAGTAAGCAGTGACCAATGAGTAGTTGAGTCTTGAGAAATCCATATTTGTGGCTACACAAGACATTTAAATCAAATATACTCTCCACCCAGGTGTTAAATGGGTACCCGGTAGGAGGCGACCATCATTGTTGGTCAAACAGTTTTTGAGCGTCATGTAACGCCTAGCTGGAATGCTCCCCAGGGAGTGGAGATTGTGCACACAGTGGGTGCGGGCAAGCACTGAATCCAATGACCGGGGTAATAGTATATTTGTAAAGCACTTAGAGACATTTGTATTAAGCACTATATAAAAGCTAAGAATTATTATTATTATTAAAATATGCACCATGTATAGTCCCTTCTTCTGAATATTGCCATCATTTATTTACTTATTTCATACTAGGCCAAGTATTGTGTGACGGCATTTACCCCCAAGGTTAATTTCCGCCATTTTGCAGTCCTCTCTTCCCTCTTCTCTCTCCCTCTCTCTCTCTTTGTTGTGTCTTCTTCCCTTTCCCTCTCGCTCTGCCTGTGTCTCACTCTCTCCATTCATCTTTCCTGTATGACTCCAATCTTCCTTCATTTCTTCTTAATTTCCCCTTTTCTTTTACTCCTTTTCAATAACTTCTTCATAATTAATGATCCCTGTTTAACTTAAACTTGATGCAGAAAATCCAGGCCCAAGAAAATCCTTGTACAAGACTACCGGTACCCTTTCTGCATCATTGCTCGATATTACTTACATCCATGAACATACCTGTACCTTCCAAATGAGTGTGTGAACACCCATTTGGAACAGACAAAGAATGTATTGTGATCCCTGAATAGACATGACCTTTAGGGGCACTGCCTAATATAGAATTTACTGGCTACATGATTATTGTGAGACAAGGTGCAGTACAGGCATTACGTGTGAAGCAATAAAAATTATTTAAAGGGAGCAGTCACCCACTGCATGCTTCAGTAAATAAACTGTTCGATTCAAATAGCGTGTAAAACAATTGTGATACATGGATTGGTACCCAAGTGCTAAGGCAGTTTATTTTGTTTGTATTTGTCAAGAAAAATATAAAAACGAAATGAAATTTTGAGAGAGAAAAGCTTGCACAAACTGGAATGCTGCAGGACCTGGACATGAAATCATGCTTTTAATTCTAACAACCAATTCTTTTCATAAAAAATTGAATATTTTCAATTTAATTGCAACTTATACTTTGCAGTTTTTAAACCTTGTTCTGGTGAGTTATGCCACAAAAATCTGAATTCTGAAATCTGAAATCACATACATATAGAAGGCCCACCAGAGATGTATGATTGCCAGGCAGTGCCATCCTCCTCCTCCTCCTCATGATCATCATCATCATCATCACCATCATTATCACCTTAGTCATCATCAACACCATCATCATATTAGTCATCACCAGCACCACCACCACCATTATCACCACTATCATCATTATCATCATCACCATCATTATCGCCAATATTATCAACACCATCATTATCTTTTTATCATCATCGTTATCATCATTATCGTCGTGTGCAGGTTGTGGAGGGAGGGGATGGGGGATAAAGAGTAATGGAATTTTGTATTTCAAATGCAGAGGAAAATATAGAGACATACAGAGATAGTGTGTGAGAGATAGAGAGAAAGATAGAGAGACAGATAGAAAGAGAGTGTGTGTGTGTGTGTGTGTGTGTGTGTGAGAGAGAGAGAAAGAGATAGAAAGAGAGAGAGAAAGAGAAAAAGAGAGAGAGAGAGAGAGACAAATAAGACAGTGAATACAGTTAGTGAGAGGGAGAGGGATTAAGCAATGGCAACTGTACAGTACTTACAGAATGCAAATGTCTCAATTTATAATGAATAAAGTCACTATGATATTTATTTGAAAAATGAACAATGCACTAATATTCCAGACTTTAAAACACAAATGCACATGTAGTAGTAATATGTGTATAGCAACAATAATAGAGAAGAACTCTTCCCAGCATAGTAAACGGAGAACTACATGTACATGTAGTTCTCCATTAACAATATGTCACAAGTTCATCATTAATGAATTCATTGCCAAATTATATAAAACTGTATACCACAGACAATAATTTTCCTTTCCTCATATACATGTTTATTACAATGAAAGGTCCACTTTTTTTCTTCAAATTTTACCTTTTATTTCTCAAAAAAACATCTCTATATTTCTCAATAAATACATGTACATGTAGGCTAGTCCTTGCTACTGATGACGTGATCATACAATACAGGAAAGTCATTAATTTCCTTTAACAATTTGTAATCGAATCCCATGAGTGCCAATTATCAACCCAGTTTATCATACAAAATGATATAGCAAGTTTACATATAAAATAAATGTTTTGCATAAAATTGACAGGCTGTCAATGAACATCACAGAATGTGAGCTCAAGAGGGTGTTGCGGATAAGTATACATGTAGCTATCGCAATGATTAAGGTAAGACTAAGAAGATTCATCTGTACAAAGAATCTATCTTTTACTGTGAACTAAAATCAACTAACTCTCCTAAAAGTGAAATTTGAAGTTGATTGAAGTTTGTTACTAAATGACATTGCTTTTGACATTAAATTAGACAAGAATTTTTCATAAACAAGAAGAAACAACCAAAGACAATTTATGAAGACATGCAGTGGAAGTTGGTTAGGTCTAGACTAGAATCTAGATCTAGATCAAAAATAAAATACAGGTTAATATTTTTACTTTATTTTGTGCTGCCAGGTTTTGTGCTGCTTCTACTCCACAAGAAATCTAAGATTTAACTTAGTAGCTTAGCAGGCAGGCAGCTCCTACTTACATGAAATGTCTGTAACAATGATTTCTGTGCAAATCAATAAACGACAAGAAGTTTGAGAATGAAATGAGACATTATCAGCTTAGTATCATCTACTTATAGATATCTACTTATTACAATAACAAAATCTGGTCCTTTATTTCAAGTTACACATCACGGCCCAAATTGAGACCTAGAGTTCAATGACACGCGACTGCTTTTTATGACGGAGTCAAACAGCTGAAACGACCACCTGAACAATCCACACTTTATATGAAGAAGCCGCGGGGCCCTGTCGGGCCAGGACAGGTCAACTCGTATAATTACAGACACAGGTGGTTTTCAGAACACTCTTTTGCCGACCCTGATTTCAATACATTAAGAAATACATACAAATTATGTTGATATTAATGATCTTACCTGTATCTAGAATTTCAGCTATTGCAGAAGCTTTAGAGTCTTCCCTTAGTGGAAATATCTCCAAAAGTATCAAAAGCTAAGGCCCAAAATGTTGTCCTCCATTTTGATTAGGTTTGCACACTGAGCATGCTCAGTACATTGGTTTGTTTTGCGTTTAGCACTTCTCCACCTAGCTATCTCGGTAGACGAAAATGTTAGCTGGCGCAAAATTACATAACATTGATCAAATGGTTATGAAGTAATCTTCACACCTTGCATATAATCTTAATCTATAGAAAGATTGAGAGTCTGATTTAAAACATATATTGGAAGAACATGAAAATCATTGAACACAACATTTAAAATAAAAATGATAGCATTGAAACAGTACAGAGACTACTGAAATGCAACAGATGGTCGAACACCCTTATGATCGAGACGCGTGGTCATTGTTCGAAGAAAAAAAAGTATTCTCTGTAAGAGACAAAGACGACGTGAAACAGATGGACAGAGTCCCTGACCGTTTCCAATCGACGGATAAACTACGGAAAGCTGAGGTTAGGGGTGGCGTAACAGTTATTGTGTTCATCTCAAGTTTCTGTTGCAACTTTTTCCTTAGTCAAGACGCTGCAATATAAAAGTGTCATTTTTTCATTCTTGTACGAGTCTAAGTCCCGAAGAGAGTTAAATAGGTGCTTCTTCTTAGCCACTTGCGAGAGCATCATCGTTTGTAGCGGTCCACATATCTGTCCAGATAGTTCTGATTTTTGCCAGCACATGATGGTGTTCAAAGCAATGTGCAGTTCCAGTACAGTTGTTCTTTGAAGGATTTGGTGTTGTCTGGCTTTTCGACACAGGAAATTTAGTATCCCGAAGAGAATGTTTTGCTTTGTTGACTAGTTGTTTTTCCGAAGATTCATGTTCGAACTTCTCTTCAAGCACATCACTATTGCCTTTCTCCCTCTCTGAAGTCTTGCAGGGAACCTTCATTTTATGGTGTGAAGCATACTCCTTCTGAAGATCTGGAGATAAAAAGAATAAGAAGAATACAGACACAGTGTGAAAAACAGATCCACCAAAAGCTTAGACGTGTTCAATAACTACATGTACTACTATATACGTTGAACATGAGAAGCTGCACAAAAGTTCATACTTTGGATGCTGTAACAACACACCAAGTATAATATATCAACTTCAGGGGATCCCATGAAAATCAAAATGCTGACTGATCATGGTGTTCCATTTAACAATTGAATTATAAATGAATAAATATGAATAAATGTGTTTTCTTCTAATGATTTTCCATGAACTCTGAGAACAGTATATTTTGTTATGTTATATGTTCGGAGCTTGACATTGATTTATTCAGAACCTCATTTGAACGAGAATGGTAAAGACATCTGTAATCAAAACTAAATGAATCAACCAATAGATCAAGTAGAAGATATATGTGTTGAACTAAAGAAATCATCGTAGAAAATCCAGTCCAATATTCAATAATTAGCTTACAGATTGATATGGGTACATAATACTCCACAACCTATGATGTAGAATGAATGTTTACGATGAATTACAGCCATAGATAAAGCAGGCTTGAGTAGTGTTTTCATTTTTAGTTTGATGTACTCAGTGCTATAATTTAAATGATTTAAAGCAGCTTCTGTCGTATTTTATCCTTTATGTTTGTTGCACTGGTATTTTATTTTGCGAAAATGAAAATGTCCGTGAAAGTATCAGAGTCCCCATTCGCATTTTGGCATATCATTATTAATTTCCACTGTTTTGTTTACTATACAGAGTTAAAATATACATTGATTTATGATAAACTGATCAGAGCGTAAGTAGTTTATGTTGATCAGGAATTCCATGAAACTATTTCATCAATCTTTACTCCTGTATCCGTATTCGATAGAGCATAATCAGTTGGTTATGGCTTTTCATGAATTTAGTGTTTTCCATGGAGCAATTCAAATGACACAAACAGTTTACATCGTTTTTAAATGTAGCTGATTCTGAAAGAAAACTCATCTGTTCATAAGGCCCAAGCATGATACGGCAATCATCGATAACGTTTAGTTATAAGCCCCAAGGTATAGAACAACAATGACATTTATAAAGCAAAACCACAAATGTTAACACCACAAAGTATTATAAATGCGGCCACGGTAAACAGATAGATTTGTAATTTTCTTCCAGATTTAGCACAATGACCAAACAATGTATACAGTCCTTCTCGTCCTTGGGGATCAACAAAATAATTAACAAAAAACAGGTTACTCTTTGTCCATGATCAGGTTCAATGCCCACTAATATTGAAACGACGAATACTAAGGGTGAATTGAAATACAAATGACGTCACAGCTGTCTCGTATCCGAATTAAATGCCTGCGAGAGGATTGGAACTTCCCATCTATGCGGAATTTCACAATGAACCGAGATTGATACCTTCATCTCAAAAGTATTATATAAACTGGGATGAATGTATACAACTAAAAAATCAACGTAATATATGTTCTTAAATTAGAAATTCATTATTAACCGAACATATTAGATATCAATGAAAAGGGCATTGTATAATATACATATATAAAACCTTACATACATAATTGCATACACCCTTTACATACATACAGGAAAGACAGTCATTGTCGGAATTTAAAAAAATGTCGGCACGTTTTCCCAACGGATTCCCTGTAATTCCACTTGGCTATATGTTGAATTGCAAAAGAGCGTTTTTTACGGTCAAATCTATAACATATCACACAGTGTCATGTAGGCCGTTTTTACCTGGTCATGAAATGAGAACGGTCCTCTGAATTGGTTAAAAATCAAATCATAACTTCCTACCTAATAAATTAATTACGAATGATTATTATATGCACGTGTCCTTGAATAAGAAAGAAAGGCGTACAGACAATTGTACGTACACAAAAAGTACATGTTCATACTTCATTATAAAAAAAAACACATATATTCCAATTCGCTATATTGTTGTGTAAGAAGTGGGGTGTTCTACGTACAAGCTTTAATAGATGATATGAATTCATGTTCATATTCCGTGTTACACTGATCACCGAGAAAATAGAGAATATGCCCAAGGCTGAGCACACTTAATGTAGGATTACTGTACATACATACACATAATCAAATATATATATATTTCAACGGTGCACAATATATGATGTTTTTTCTTCAAACAAATTCATAACGTAGTTTTCTTCCTTTTTAACTCACCGGGAATGTTGCAATCTCTCAGGTGCCGAGGGAGCCTGTCGGATAATTCTATTCTCGATGGAGAAGTTACAAACTCAGATAACTGCCGTAAATTTTCTGTGCTGGATGAAACCAATAGTGTTTTGTTGGCCGCCATTTCTTCTGTATGTCTATCTGTAATGTTCTGTGTGTCTGTTTAGTACCGTTTCGCAGCCCCCGTGTGACGACACTGGTAGGCAGAATCAGGCTATGATGTTTGCGTTGTGTGCCAGTGGTGCCACGTACAATGTATATGGGAGCAGTGGTAACAAAATTATCATATTTTGGCGTCGGGTGAATGTGGGGTCATAACATATCATTATCTTTACATCAGACTCAAGTTTGATCGCTTGTGTGTATGATTCTCATGCGACGTGACGGAGATAAAACATTTGGTTTAGGAAATGATATCTCTTAGCTCAGAAATATGGATTTCGCAATATCATCTGGGTGAATACATTTGAGGTATGTACACAATAGGGTGTAGACTTGTGTTTATCAAAGTGTGTGTGTGTGGGGGGGGGGGGGGCTACCATCAATAATATTACGTCTTAACTCTTGTTTTATTTCTGTGTGTATACGTCATTCCCTTTTTCCCTCTATATTTCTTTTCCCCCCAACAATTACACATTTAAGGACAAAAATTGGAACAGATAATTCAGACTCCGCAGAAAATCAGAAAATATAGTTCATCAACGACGAAAATATGGAAATACTAGGGATTAATTTTTCTATTTGAATTGAATCGCAAGATTTTATGATACGACCCAATCACGACCCAATCAATTCCCATTGATATCAAGGCGCGAATTTATATTGAAGGGGGTCATTCTAGATCTTGACATTTGCAGATAGTTTGATATCGAACTAGTAACTAATAGTCTGCATAGTACTATCTTTGAAATAATCATGGGTGAAAGATTCGAACTAGAAAACGACATTGACATAAAGCTGGGAGAGCCAGCGTATTACTCTATTCCTGGGAATGAACTGTCAGACATGTCAGGTAAGAAATTTTACCCTACCTCAACTCATTACAAAAGAGACAAAAATCATGGATGTATTTGTTAACATAGAATTGATTTGATTTGATTAGATTAGATTTGATTTGATTAGATTAGATTTGATTTGGTTTATTGGTTTCTGCATCTTTTTTTTCTTCATACATTTTCATGAAAATAATATGCTTTAATACAATATTTTATATGTATATATACAGAAAATATACGAAATTAGACAACTATATGTTGAATGCATAATTAGCATACATTAGATACAGACTACAGCATAAGCAAAGTAGCTTGACGTGCCCGCATCCCTCAACTTAGTTCAATATGAATAAGAAAGCATGAGAGTGACTTGCAGAGAAGAAAAGGAAAGGGGAGAGAAGGAGCTTTGGTTTTCTTTTAATACAATAAAAATAATACATCTGCAAATGGAATGCAAGTAGATTTATCCTAGTTGTGACTACAAAAAGACATAGAGAGATAATCGGTTGGTAGAGAAATGGAATAGAAATACAAATGATGGTGTATTCTTTTCATAAATACCTCCGACTTTCCTAAAATGATACTTTAAGATGTTTTTTATTATCGCATTTTTAGTACGATTTGTGACGTCTGGTAGGGCTGGTTGGATTTGGAATTGACTAATTAAAAAACATAGTTTTGGTTTTCATTTCATTCCATCGTTGTCATAAGCGCAGTGTAGTATATCAATGTCGTTAATATATACTTGTGTTTGTGTGTGTTTTGTGTTTTGTGTATATGTAGGTCTAATTGTTAAGAAGAATAATGATTGTTTATGTATATATATTGTAATCATTATTATTTCCATTTTGCTAGTTTTAAGGGATGAGTGTAATCCAAAGCTGTTTTGAGATCTAGTTGTGCTGTTAAAAATAAACACTGTGGCAACTGTTACAACTAACAAATGTAGTGATCATGATGTGAAGAGGAAAAATGTGACATAAAAGATCTTACCAGAAGATTAAGTTTTTAATGATAATTACAAAAATGAGAATACTTCAAAGAAAAACATTTCATATTACTGAAAAGGTTTTAAGCAATTCCAAACGAAAACATATCTGATCGTCAACGAACCAGAGTTAAGTCTATTTGTTGCTACGGCAGGCAACCATTGAAAACGAATTCGTTTAAACAAATTATTGAACTGCAACCATTACTTTAAACAAACAGAACTTCGTTATTCCTGGCTCATTTTCCTGATGAGGTGTCATATGAAAGGGCAGAAAATGAAATTTCTAAAAATGTGATTTTCTCTTTGAAATTCAGATACCGCCCGCCAAACGACTTTTAGGTACCCTCTCTTCAAATTAGTTTTAATCCCTCATACGTTAAATATTCATCTTATGAGTTCCATTAAATGAAAGAAGAGGATTTAAGCTTTACAAATATGTGTCATTTATTATTATAATTGTGATTAAGTTATGATAAAACATCGTTTATTCTCGGTTTCGTTTTTTCTGGGACGACTGAATAATATGGACTACTTTCAATGGAAGTACTAGCCCAGCCTCTGGACCGTTTCCGTTTCTCGCGCCCAATCAGCTGATAAAATTAGACACCCTCAACGTTGACAGTACAGTTTTTAAGACCTTGCCAATCCTCTCATTTCTGTTCTTTTGGACGGTACTTTGAGAGTTTGCGCGATGATTGCAGACACCGCACTGTGTTTGGATTCGATGCGTGGGATAGAAGAATAAAAAGTAAAAATGTACAGAAGCTGGACTATATGGAAGTACCCGATTTAGTCATATTCAAAAGCACATAAAGATTGTTTTATATCTCGAAGAACTTCACACTAAAATATGGTTTATTTGCCATCTCTCTCCAATTCCCCCCCCCCCCTCTCTCTCTCTCTATCTCTCTCTCTCTCTCTCTCTCTCTATCAGTGCTGATAATATCATATTTTGTTTAATCTTCTTTGAAGGCTACTACAATGTAAAATATAATGTATCGCAATAATCTGAGGGCGTCCTACTAATTTGTTAGTCAAAGTCATCGATGTATAAACAAATTAAAGTAGATCATGTAACTTGGACACAATATGACGCATGTTGTTTTGTTAGGCAAGTAAACAACAAATAATGTGCGTCAGAATGTGTTCAACCGAAATCGAGTTTGGCCGATTTATGTGTATGATTGGCTCTGTTGATGCTTACCCAAAATGAGAGACATTTGTTACTGACTTTGGCCAATTTTCAACACTTTCCACCAACATGACTTTGAAAGAACTCTTTACAAGTTATTAAGTGCACTTTTATGAACAGATGGCATGTAAAAGTTTAAATATTTTCTGTTGCCATAATTGGCATGTAAGTGCTTATTTTTTGCGAAATGACTGCACTGATCGTCATGTTCGCCCATTTCAATATGCGACGCACTTGGCTATGCGATTTTAAATTTGGGGGGAAGTAGTTACGATCATTTTGTGGATGCTGGTGAGATAAATATCGTCCTCAGAAGAGAGAGAGAGAGAGAGAGAGAGAGAGAGATAGGGAGAGAGAGAGGGGGGGTCGGGTGGGGGTATCCTAATCATTTACAGAATTTCATATTAAATTAAAGGTATAAAGATGGAGACCGAAATTCTACTGAATACATGGATTTTATAAAGTCGTATACATTAATACACCTATACTTCAGTCTGGAATAAGGGAGAGAGGGGGGGGGGCAAAATCTTTTTAAATTATTTTTTATTCCTCTACTCCTTCCACCAAGTTCATTTTTAACAAAACAAATTCGACAAATGCAATCATATGCATCAACAATTATGCAATACAATGAGTAAACAATGACTAAACTATTTTGATCATGTTAACTTCTGATTTAGTTCTTCAACTCAGACATATGACATTTCTACACTAAATCGGAGAATTGGACTTTCATTTAAGAAAATGAATCATAGTTTTAAAACAACATGAGATATATCTAAAGCCAAAATTTAAAATGCGGAAAAAGGAGGCACACTTTTCTGCAGTATACTGTTTACTGTGGTAACTCCAGCTGTCACAGATCTTGTTATTTTTGGCGATGAGTGTGCATAATCCGAGGCAACTAAAATGCTGCGTAATAAACTATATGAAAACTTCTCCTATATAGTATAGAGGAATGCCGCATCTTTATACTTGTCATCGCCAGCATTATTCTAAATTCTATTCCACAGCGCGGCCATACTTCCGTGGTAGTGTCTATACGCAGGTGAAGCTGAATGGGCAAAGGAATACTGTTCTCCAATTCAAGATTGGTGGCAGGGCTGGAAGGGAGATATACGGGCAAGTGCAACGACCAGGCAATGCCTTAACCAAGATATTTTGCATCAAGGAGGGTAATAGGTGGGCATCGGGGAAGGCCGAGGTGCAAACCGACGTGGTGATCAAACAATCTAACGCAGGCGACGTCGGAACCTGGTACATGTCCATTTGGTATAACGGCTATGATAACAAAGCGAGTTCAAAGAGGACTGTCATTGCATGAGGGTAAGACATACTTTGATATTTATCAAGAACAACAACCCCTTGCCTTTAACTACTACCGAAGAACCACCACGGACCACTATCCCATGGACAATCACCTCGAGTACACCATCCCCCATAAAAAATAACCATTACGTTATTGCCTTGAGAAAGACTAAAGTTGATGAAAATTTAAAAGGGGGTGTGATAGTTGTCCGGGTGTCCGTGATAAATGTAAGGGGTGAAGTTGTTTAAGTGTAGTTATTCGGGGGGGGGGAGGTGTTAGTCTATAGCCACTGCTCAAAGAAAATATCCTCTAATGTTAAATAGTCCTACACTCTGAAATATGTTGGAATTTCACTCATTAAAGGCATCGTTAATAATGTTAAATCTGATATTCATGGCCCTACGTGTTAACAATGTCTGTGATATGGTGTAATATTAAAGCCCGAAAAAAAATCGCGATTTAAATTGATCACAAAGTGCCTCAAAAAAGTAAAAAATCTTTGAGTGACCGGTTTTTCCATACTCATTTTCCCCAATATACTGTTGTGTTATGAAAACCGTTAGGAAAACACAAAGTTTGATTTCGATTTTCAATCATAAATATCTTGATAATCAGACAGGCGATAGGCTTTTAAAAGTCATGAGGTTCCTGACTGACCTAAAGGTTTATAATTATCATTGCAGCATGAGCTAAATCCAGGTTCTTTCAGGTTCTTTCAATACAAGGGTTGAGGGTTCGAATCTCAGCCGGACACTAGTCCTTTGGCAAGACATTAATCTATATTTGCCACTCTCCACCCGTGGGGTAACCGGTAATACCTGTGCAAATAATTACAGGGCCCGCATGGAGAGCAGTATTAATATTGATGTGGCTACAGACCCAATTAGTTACAGCTCTAATTAATTCGATAGGCCTTAGGAATTAAAATCACATTGGTGCCTAAATTAATGTTTATCCATCATTTTTACAATCAGATAACTCCGGATGGTGGTGCTCCGTACTTTGATTCCTGAGGCTCGAGCTAAGAAGTTATTCAGAGGGGGGAAACATCCAAGCAGAAAGTGTTAAGTCTTTTAAAGGGCAATCCAACCATTGTAATAAGTTCATTTGAATGAAAGCAGAATAAAACAGAATGGTGACAGTTTGACATAAATCGAACCAATAATAAGAAAGTTATGAAACGTTGGAAATATGAGATCCATACTGCTATGCGAATCTCAAACTGGCAATTTTGTCAGTGAATATTGTGACGTAATGAAAGATAACAGTCTCGTTTGTCGTGTACATAAATATTACTAATGTCTGTTTATTTCCGAAATTCCCGATTCAGCCAATATGAAGAGCCTATATCTATAGTGATTGAAACTTTCAATATTGAATAAATTTCTCAATTTATGTCCAATTTCGTTTAAATTCACCAGTATGCTTTTCTGATTCTTCAGCTTTCTTCTAGAGTAGTCTGCTATCAAGTTTACATTTCCCTTTAAATATCCATACAAGAAAATTCTGACATTGTTTTATTCTTGTTTGTAACTATTCCTTTAAATAATCTTCTGTCGATGTACCAACATTTGCATGAAGTGGTCTTTAAGCAATTTATTGACTTGTTCTTGTTATACTTGAAGTAGGTATATTTTCTGATAGTAATCAGTGAACAATATTCTGTATAATATTTTATAAGATCTGCGAAAATGATTTGACTGGATTGACTAATCTATAATCATCTGATCATTTCTATTATACCCGTTTATTCGTACTGTCTTCAAAGACATTCTTTTGTCTGTAGTATAATTTTTTGTTCTGTTTGTAGGTTAAGCGCAGGTTATTAATAGACACTTAACATTCATGAACAATTGCTATTGTATTCCTAACAAGTCACGCTAGTTTCCTGTTGAAACATAACCGTAGATAATAGAAGCATAATTTATTTCTTTGATAAATCAAAGTTAATTAAGAAACATGGATAAGAGTACACAAAAGGAGCCTGGTGAACAAATCACAAGTTGATGTGGATAGGCCTACGCCTCATTACCCTGTAATGATAACAAGATCGCAGAAGGCTTCAAAAACATCACCTTAAGGCTATTTCAATAGCATTGTCCAAAACCTATTGACATGTGCAAAAATATAATGAAGTATTACGTAATCCGAATTTGATTTCTATTGGATATACAATAGGGAATTGAAATTGCTCTAGGATGATTTTTTGAAAGTTACTGCGATCGTATTTGCAGAATAAAACTGCAAAGCACAAATGATAAGAAGTACAATACAAGCTTAGGTGACTATAAATGTAAGTAATCTTCGAAAAGATAAGTAGATGAATAGGGATAAAAGTTAAGTGGAACATAAATTATTGGCCTTACATGTATACTTAAGTCATAAGACTGGTGGATTCAGAGACTGATCTCCATTATTGGTAACATTTCAAAGTCTTTCAGAAAGAGTTTCATCGGTTGTCAATCCCTTATCGAAGGGGTTAAATTGTTTCCATACTTTGAATATATTAATCTGGATGTTGTAATGGGAAGACGCCATTTTGCATAAATGTGTTCAAACTGAAGGCTGCAAGCACATCAAGCCTCATTTTACGCTGTAGCCCTGCTTTGTCTTATTTATCTAATTAATACTCTCTTTTTTTACATTTATGTCAATAGATGTATGTCAATAGAAAAGCGTATCAATATATAGATATCAAAATATAAATGTCGCAGTAATGCACATGGATATGTGTGTTCGAGAAAAAAGGAGACAAATGATACAGAAATCGATAAATCAAACAAACAAAAGTTATTCCGCACGTAATTGTTGTTCAATTTTGACCAAACGTTTTTTTAGAGTTTGTGATAGAAGGATTAAAAGCGGACATTCATATTAAAGTTGAACAGAAAACGAAACGCATGCTATCGTGTTTGCATTTATGTTTAATTGTTGTAACAAGTGAATTGTACGTGATGGCCTGAGCGCCAGTTAAAGATAATGTTGAGTTATGGTCATGCGATTGCATAGTGAAAGAAAATGTGTGGAATGGATCAGAAAAAGTTGATCATGTAGCATGTAAATATTGGTGTGAACTGCAAGATTCTAGAGTCATCAAAATCATAATAAATTTGGCCCAGTCTTGGTAAGGTAACAAGCACTGTACACGGAAAGATGTATGGGACTACACAAATGGTGTCGGGCCTACTTGCCTTGATTTCCTTATCTTTATGTGCTCATTGCTTAGCCAGTATACATTTTCTACCCAAATTGTTTGGCAAAAGACATTTATTTGTAATCTTGAACATTCAGTGTAAGTTTCGTTTGATTCTGTGAGAATTCATTTTTTTTTTAACCTGAACTCAATTTGTTGTTTAATGTTAATATCCCTTTGCTGCATACACTGTGTATTTTTAGTTTTTAGTTGTAATTATTCCTCATTCATGTGGAAATAAGTTCTTTACTAAAGATTGGAATGTATTAAGTAATGATTTCATGAGTCCTCACAATTTATTGAACATGTGAACCCTGAATCACATGCTATTACACGTTTCATTCCGTATCTTTTATCTACTACTTTTAAGGTAGACAAAATGCAGTGATAGTGATAATCATCTATTGATTCAACGCAGTTCTTTTCAGTTAGAAATGAATGAAAAGACGAATATATAGAAATAACTTGAGGAGAAGGAACGAGAGAAAAAGAATGTGTGTGGGTGTGTGTATGTAAAGGTAAGATTAAGAAACAGACAGAAGAAGAGAAAATGGAGGGGAAAAGAAGTAAAAGTCGATGAAACAATGAATAATGAATAGGAAAATTGAATGAAACAAAGATGATTAATAAATTAATGCCCCACTCTACTACTTGTAGCCACTTGCTCCCTCTATATAGAAAACAATGCCTAATCGGTGCTTGTTGGTCCCCCATGATCCTCTTTTTTTATGTTAATCAAGAGCTGAGTTGATGAGATAACCACCTGTCAGTGACAACGCTGGGTGGTATAATCCCTGCTGGCCAAACTAGGACAGACGGGCTTTAAGACCTAATATTTGTTTATGGCAAACGCGTTTGCTTCTATTCTCGTGATGTGACAAAGAACAAATTTGGCATAGCGATAGAGATGTACTAAGAAAAAAGGAGAACATGAGAGTGAAGAAGGAAGGTAAAGAGCTACAATGACGGGGATTAAAAGAATGCAGAAAGAGAAAAAAAAAGGAGTTAGAGAAAGGAAAACAGAAATAAAAAGAGATTATGAGAAAGGAAAATAATTTACGTCGAAAAAATAGTGACCTGATAAAAAAGAAATGATTTTAAAAGCATGAAACGTCTCTTATCAATTTACACACTTTTTTAAATATATTTTTTATTCTTTTCTCTCAAATCAAATACATATTGTACAAATCATTCTTACCAAAATGGATAGGCCTACATTGTACATTGATATTTCGGATTAAACATACATTGCAATAATAACAACAACAAAAAAAGTTATATATGCAACGTATTACCCCACTCTACCACCTCTACCTCTATGTCCTCTTTCTTTCTCTCTTTCCCTATAATATCGTTCTCTGTCTATCTCTTGTATTTTCTACTCTGTCTCTGTAGTTTGATCTCCATGCCTCCATCCCTCCTTCTCTCTTGATCTACACATTTCCCTCATATTGCTCCGGTTGTCTCATTTTCGCCAGCCCAAATGTAGCTAGTTCGCCGTCACTACCAAACTAGAATGTTCCACTATGTTGCAGGGTGTATATGTCATTGGGTATGATGTGTGAACCGGGTGTGCGGAAATGGTGTGTTGGGAGGGGGAAGTGAGAGTGTTCATGTGTGTGGTAATTTTATGTGTGTCAACAATGAAAGACTAATACATGACAGATGGCTAATCATAAATCTACAATGACGAATAAACTGTGTACATCACAGTCCACAGATAAATGTGCCTTGAAGTTCGAACGTTTATAGCAGACGGCAATCGGCGGATCAGACGACATTTGATAGTGATTTTGTATGTGAGATTGCTTTGCTAAATATAAAATACAAGAACCTTTCCATATTTTTAAACTATCATTGATATCTGATAATTAAACAGTTAGTAAAATAAACCTACCAAACTACATAATACAATGAAATACTTGACTGAAAGTAGGGGAGTTTGATGTGGTGCACAATTGCACCCCTCTGTTAATAATCGAATAGTCCATGGTGTTCATGAATATTAATGTTTTTGCTTACCTCGGCAAAATGCTTGCCTATACTAAATGGAAAAATTACGGTGGGGGTTGGCTGAAATGGACATAATGAACAAATCAAAACTGATCTATGATAATTCATGCTTGTTATCCTTTGTATGCTTGACTAATTACCTTACAATCGAGTGGCAAATTGCCTCCAAAGTTCGACTTGTTGCACATGTGTTATATAGGCAATGGCGAGCTGGCGACCTATTTTGACTAAATTACGGTGGGTAAACTTTCAAAAGTCAATGGGACATGAGGGTTCCAATGAAAGAACTAGTGATAACGTACGTCGGGTGGATGTGCTTTTCGTTTAAACAAAAAAAAATGAATTTTTATCGATTTTTGTTTTTGTTTTTTTGTTAAAGTCCATAGTCTGACATGTTTATAGGCTGCTGGACGCTGACGATAGGGGGCGTTGTCAAATGAGACTAAACGAAGCTTTATGCCTTCTCTCACACTTCACCTCTCACCTCTTTTAATACCATTGGATCATTTTGGAAGTTATGGTTTTTCATATAATTATTCCTATCATCATCAAGTTTCGTTTTGAAAACAAAATTTGAATTATGAGATGCCAGGGACAAAACACATTCATTTTACTCATCAAAAAAGTAAAGGCCTCTACATAAAAAAATGACTAACTATTTTGATCTCTGGCATGTTTACCTCTGATTATGTCATCTGAGACATTAAATCATACTTTGGAAACAACATAAGATATATATCTAAAGACAAAACCTTAGAAATCCAATAATCTGGGCGTACTGTTCTACAGAATACTGTCTATGGTAGTAACTCAAGCTTTCTCAGATCTTGTTCTTTTTAGCGATGAGTGTGGATAATCCCCGGCAAATAAAATACTGCGTAAAGAACCAAATGAAAACCTTTCCTCTATAGTCTAGGGGAATGCCGGTTCTTTATTACTTCTCATCGCCAGCATTATTCTAAATTCTATCCCACAGCAAAGCCATACTTCTGTGATAATTTTCCAAAGAAGGTGAAGCAGAATTGGGAGGGGAATACTGTACTCAAATTCAAAGTTGGCGGCATCACCCGAAAGGAGATACGAGGGCAAGTGACACGACCAGGCAATATCGTAACCTCGATGTTTTGCATCAATGAGGCAAATGGAAAAGCATGGGAGGTCAAGAAAAATTGCAAAGTAGTGATCAAAGATTCTGACGCAGACGACGTCGGACGCTGGTCCTTGACCATTTGGTATAAAGGAAAACCTAATGCCAGAGCGAGTTCTAGGAGGACTGTCAATGAATGAGTGTAAGCCACCCTCCGATATTACTCAAAGACGACGACAGTTTACCTTTAAGTATTCCCAAACAACTATCCCGGACAACCTTCACATGGATAATTACCCCGAGTAAACTATCCCGCCATAAAAAAATAAACATTACCTAATTACATTGAGGAAGACTAAGGTTCATGATTTTCTTTTCTAAGAGGGGGGGGGGGGCAGATAGTTGTCCGGTTGTTCGGGGGTAAATGTAAGGAAGCATATAAAGACATAAGGGAACAAATCCTTAAATTTGGGTCCCCTTTTTTTTTAAATTTATCATTGAAACAATGGATTCGTTTTTTTCAAAAAAATTGTAGAGTGTTTGCATGGCTAACCCGAAAATTGTTTTTAAAAATGGGTACCTTTTATTTTCCAAAATGAGACTTAAAATGGGTAGGGGTTTCGAGGCTTGAGCGGCACACTCCCGACCAAACCAAGTCTGAGTACCCCCCCCCCCCCCCATGTCCCATTTGCAGCCAACAACAAATTCTGTAGAACTTTGCAGGAATTATGAATATGTCATATATGTCCTATCTGTGAAATTTAAACGTTAGCCGTGTCCTAGTATTCAAATTATGCAAGGAAACCCTTTTACTTTCTAGACTTCACTGTTAGACCCCTATTGAGTGACATACTAACTTACTCCTATTTTTCTTTGGTAACAGCACACATAAAATGAGCTGTAAAGGGTACTTGAGCATTGGTCTACATCAATAACCCACTTCATGTAGTGGCCAAAATTAAACTGATTGAATTCCTGCGCAGCACAAAACGTACGGCCATTCAGTACAAGGGTCTGAAAATCAGAAAATTTACTTAAATGATTGCAATCACTAAAGTCGATTCGACAACTAACTGTCGTTATTTTCCCTAAAAAATACTTTTTCTAGCCCTTTCGGGGGAAGTTCTAAATTAGTATCACCTTTCAAATTCCAGTGGAATTTTACCTTTTCTTTGTTTTTGTCTGCAAATGGAACATAGCACCTTTGAGGCTTGTTCAGATAATTGTTGCCGCAGAAAGCCGTTGTAAAAAAGCCACCTCATTTATCCTTTGTTTAAGTTTAAATAAATGTCGACAGTGCGCAACAAAGGATTTGAGCATACTGATTTCTGTGTCATAAGATGCAGAAGCGTACAGCGTATCACATTTTACGTCATCAAAAACTATTAACGCCGCGGTTGGCCGCGTCATATCTGGACAAGCCTTTATTTTGCAAATAAGAAATAGTATTCCTCGGGTATAATTAAAGCTCTATATCGCATTGAGAAACAAAATTGTACCCCCAGTTGGGCAAGATGTACCCAAAATTTAGTGAGATTTTATCCAATAAACATGCATGTTCCCTTATTATCCAATACTGGGTAAATTAATATTTTGTAGAGTGTACAGATTATTCGAGGAATTTTAACTTGATATTCATAATGGGGTGGTTGTACAAGGGTAATTTTTGCCCAATATTACGAAAGCTTTATCAAACTTTTGTAGAGTATACAGGTTGTGTATGGCTTTTAAAAAAGGGGGG